GCTGCTGCTGCTGTTGGTGGTGTTGTCGTTGTCGTTGTCGTTGTCGTTGTCGTTGACGTTGACGTTGACGTTGACGTTGACGTTGTTGTTGTGGTTGTTGTTGTCGTCGTTCCCCACCCTCGGGGTGGGGTTGTTAGATTTTAAAGTCAGCTATTGCTCCTCGCCCTCTGAGACTACCTCTTGGAGTGCCCAACCCCACAGACTAGCGTGAGACTCCCTGGAGTGCCCAACCTCACAGACTACCGTGAGGGTGGGGATGTTCGAAGTAAAATAAATGTTTGTTGTTGCTGCTGCTACTGCTGCAGCTACTACTGCTGCTGCTCCTGCTGCTGCTTTGACGACGTGGTGCTGGTAACGGTGTATCTGCCGGCGGTCCTTAGTTCTGTGGTGGTGAATAGCTCGATAGTCCAAGACGAGGTGAGCGCACGAGGATCAGGCTGGACCAAGCAAGTATCGTTGAGTCCTTGTGCAGAAGTCGAACCGATGGGTGTGATTAGCGTTTGATGTGTTCCGCATGAACTTACAATTGTCCAGGAAGATTATTGACTTCCCTCGGAATGGCTGCTTGGCTCGATTGTGTGTGTCCGACACCGAAATCAATCAACAGCGTTTTTGGCGAAGGTGGGAAGGAATGTGAGCCAAAAGAGCTCATGGAACTCGGGAAATGCCCGAGACGGTGTACTGGACAAAAGTTCTGTGAGTGGCAGAACTGGGGCGAGCGGCTTGGATGAAGGAGAACAAGCAAGCTTGCGGTGCTCCGGCTCTTGCGTTGGGCCAGTCTTCGATCAATCATCCAGGTGGAGCCAATGCACCGCAGAATGCGGCAAAGGAGGCAAGCGACGACGACGCCCTCTGCTCAGATGGAAATCAAAAACAAGTAACATACCTACCCGATCTCTGAAACTTGGTGCCCATGCATAGCCTCGTTTAAGATATCAGCCAACGACGCACCTGCATGTTGGCTTCGCGAGACGGGTGCATGTGCCAATTCCTTGTCTTGTTCCGTCTATCTGTCTGTGTCTGTCTGTGTGTCGTTCTGCCTTTCTGTCCGTCTTCTTTCTTTCTGTCTTTGCTTGTTTTGCGTTTTAAGTCGTGTGTGTCGTCTGTCTCAGCGTGAGTGCCGGTGCCGCATGCTTCCATCCAGGGCAAATAGGTTGACGCGAGGCTGTCTGGTTTCGCTTGAGAATGCAGCAGCCTTCACTGAAACTTGCAGTCTCATGTTCTTGTGCCAGGGTGTTTGTGCGGGCCGTTGCGCAAAACCGCCTTGACTTGAAGTGGGCAATTATAAGTTATAAAGTAAGGATCGAGCGGTTGAAGACAAACTGAGAGCCGAAGTCCACCAGTCTTGGAAGTTCTGAGACAGATCGGCTCCGATTTTCAAACATACATGAAGCGGGTCGTGGCCGGTCCTTGGTGGTGCTGCACAGTATGCTAACTTCCAACCACGATCTTTGGGCCGGAACTGAGCGTAGAAGTTTCGCTTCATGAGAGACTTAGTGGAGAGCTTTCTGGATCCTACCTTCATGGGCCATGGGCTCTCTTCCAGGCCGCTACATGACACTCACAGAGGAGGCCAAGAGTGAGTTGCCGTCCTATGTTTCGCTACTTGTCTCACCTGGGACTTGCTGCATGAGACGGCGCTTGCGCTGAATCCAAGAGTGGTTGGTGGCCAGCCATGGCTACAGAGCATCAGAGCGATCTCAGGAATGTCATGATGCACTATGAAAAGGTGCGCCTTCGGGCTCAGGACCGCCAAAGGTGTTCTTTTTGGCGTTGTGATGCCGCAGCCAGTGTGAGTTATGATCGAGGATCTGGAATCTCGAGAAATCATCGACATCTTTGGTTCCTTTGTGGCCGGCTGCATCTCTTTGTCCATGGTGGTGCTTGGCGCTCTTCTCAGATTTGTTTACCCTTCTCGGGGAAGAAAGTAAGTAATTCAGTCCGGTGTAAGAGCCTCAGAAATAATCATAGTAGTGTCTGCACGAATATGCAAGCCAAGGCGTGCGCCTCGTAGGGCGTCTGCGCAGCCACCGCAGTGCGCAAGTAGCCTACACCGCCGTGGAGGCCGTGCATGTTCATGTCTACTAGTGGATGTGCAGGTTACGAGTGGCTGAAGCGGTGCCTGCCAGCTGAAAGTAAATTAGATGGCCACAGACCTTCATGTTCTCTTCTAGCTCGAATGATGCTGCAGGCATGACCGTCGGAATGGAGCGAGGAGCTCTGGTTAATGCCTGGCTTCTTCCATACGGAAGGCAGTGGTGTTGGGATGTGCGTGGATCTGTGTCGGTCTGTCCGTCTATCTGTCCCTCCGTGTCTGTCTGTCTGTCTGTGTGTCCGTCTGTCTACTGTTTGTGTGCAAAGAAGCAGTATGCAAATAAGTACGTGAGTTAGTGGGTGAGTAATCGAGGGAGTGAGTTCGTAAGTAAGTCAGTCAGCGAGCAAGTAAGCAAGCGAGAATTTAAGTAAGCCAGAAGGAAGTAAGCCACCCTGGATGTATGTGCTTGTTTGCACGCGTCTCCAGCCCAGAACAAGCTTTCTAAGTCTCGCCCTTCACTCGACTGCTTTTTTTGCGGGAGGCCGATGTAGACTTCACCGATGATCACCGTCTCGCAGTCTCAGTTCTTCTTCCAAACCCGGAATCTAGCGTTGCTGCTTCGTTTTCGGTTCTAGTACAGGAAGTAGTGGATGCCACAATAGCAGCAGCAGCAGCAGTTTGTGTCTCACTTACACACTGGCTGCAAGCTGCATGACGCAGTCTGCACCTTTGAAGTCTTGGATGCCCAACCGTGGCCATCACAGAGTTCTCTCGTTTTGTGAGCGTGACAGCCAAAGCATTGTCCGCTTCGCATGCTAATTTGTCATAGGTGTAAAGAATAGGGAGGCTGTTGGCTCTTCTTTTGCCCACAGCGTCCGTGCAGGCTAGATCAAAGATATGGCGGCCTGAAGCTCCAAAGCACCGACATCGGATGTCTCACTTAGCCTCGCGGGCCCTGAGATCTCACTGAACGAAACTACTTAAGCCCACTTCTATTTGCACTCTTTCTCTCAATCTGCCGTGGAGAACCGGGGCCAGGCTTCAGAAAGCTTCCAGCGCGCATCATTTGCCGCACGGCCAGTAGCGTAGGGAACGTTATCTGCAAGACGCCACGTGCTGCAGTGATGCAAGTCGCTCTCGCTCAAAGTACTCTGTAGCAGCCTATGGGCACTCCCTGGTATTTTAGCGAGCACAATCGCTGCTGAATCCAGGTGGTTGAGTTGTGGAGTTGTGGAGTGATCCGACAGCTGAAAAAGACCGCCTGCGCAAGTGCATTGCGGTATCTGTTCGAGGGGAGCCGAGGGCCCAGCCCCGGCACAGATCGCTTCCCCCTTCGCAGGGGCGATTGTGGGTGTCGCGCTTGTGCCGAACTCCTCAAACTACCAGGCACGTGGGCGAGTGTTTGACAGCTTGGCCTTTTGCCACCATGATGCCTTGGTTGCAGGGTGCCTGACCATGTTGTCGCTCGGGACTCTGACAGATCCGATCAGGCCAGAAGGCGGTCGCATGCTGCCTCGGTTTACACCGTGGAATATCGTGGAATATTGTAAGCAGCGAGCAGTACCAAAGACTGCACTGGTGTAATGCGTACCATGGGCAGCAATAGTAGAAGGCGGCATCCATGCCAGAATTCTACTGGCAAGGATTGCCAGTAAGGTCTCACTGCGTGCGTGTTGCACAGCTCCAGTTTCATGTGAACATAAGAGAGGACGTCATGGCACAAGGCGCATACGCGTTTTTCATGCAACGCCGCGACTTTGAAGTTGAGGAACGAAGGCTCGCTAACACCGCGTTGCCCGGTCTTCGCCTCGAAACTCTTTTACTGCACGGTGACTGTTTGCGTGTGATTGGTCACCCTGTTCGCATGTGGTTGAAACTGCCGAAGGCAGATCTGTCTACAAAATTTACAGGTTAGGCAAGTTGCGTTGGCCATGCTGAAATTGCTCAGGGAATCCGGTTTGTAGTCGAGTCATCTGGGCAGGCAGGATGGAAGCCACGCCATTACAGAAGTGACAAGCTGGTCTTGCAGAATCCTAGAGTCCCAGAGATGTGATACGTCCCAGTCGAAGCCAGTCGCAAACCATCCTTCATGTTGCCCTCGACTGCCGCCACAACATGCACCAATGTGCTGACCGAGTTGCTGGCAGTACAAACAGGTTTTGAAAGTGCAACCTTCTAAAAACTCAGCCCAGTATGGCATAAGAAGACACATCCACTTCTCGTCCTGTGCCGACTATGTTAGTGGTAGTGTCTTGTCATCTGTCCCGCTGAGGGGTTTGTAGATAATTGGGTCTTGCAGTCTGTTTCCGTAGATCTTGGCCATGTCTCAGCACGTGACGGTTTCGGAGATGTTCACGGAGTATGAAGCTGACTTCACCAGGCTTTGCCACGAAGCGGAGGAGTGTTTGGAGCGTGCCAAGAGTACATCCTCAGCAAAGCCTCTTTCAGATGCAGACCGCTGCATTTCAAGAGCCGAGCAGGCGGTCAAGCAAATGGAGCTGGAAGTGAGAGCAATGCCACCGGAAGCACGCGGCCCTGTCCAGTCCAAGGTGCAGGAGTGCAGGCGGGCATTGACGGAGCGCCGCAAGGCTTCCGAAGCCGTCAGTAGAGCTATGCTTCTGGAGGAGACGACCCTGGGAAAGCCATCAAGTGAACACATGGCAGAGGACATAAACCAGTCCATGTTGGAAGGGTCTCGCAAGTTGACTGAAGCCAAGCGGGCAGCTCTGGAATCCGAACAAATCGGAATAGATGTCATGAGCGATTTGCGGCAGCAAAGAGAAGTCATGGAGCGCAGCCGCGAGAACATGGGCAAGGTGGGCCAGAATTACAGTGCAGCTGGCCATACATTGGACAGCATGCTCAGGCGAGCGGATCAGAACAAGAGAATGGTCTACATGATCGCCGGGCTAATGCTAGTGATGCTTGTCGTTGCCGTGTATTTCCTGTTTCACGGCGGGTCTTGACAGCTCAGAAACGCTGATGACTGCCTGCGCGTCGTGAAGTTGCTCGGCTGACACACGCCACTTTAGACCATGCTGAGAAGTCCGCTTCACGGCGGTTCTGTCACTTCAGGATGGCAAGGCACTGGGGGCCGCTTCCATTCCCTTCTGTAAGGCTTGAACATCTCAAGACTTGTCCCCATCGGCTCCAGCGAGGTTATGCTCTTGCAATTGTTGAATCTGGATGGTAGGCGGCATCATATGCTCACTGAGCATACCGAACCGGACCTGAATGCCTGAAGCCGACGCACGGGGGCTCTGGGCCCTGGAAGCCTCATAGCTTGCGGTGCCTGTTGGCAACCCTTAGCCCAAGATCCGAAGCCAGCTTCTCGACCTGAGACTAGCAGTTCGAGCGTGATTACAACCAGGCTTGCGGTTCGTAAACCCTTTGAGTGCGTAGTACTACTTCCACTTTCCATTTCCATCTTTAGAGCAACTCGCAGCCATGGCGTTTGCTGTCCTGACCTCAGAAGACGGTGCATGGTCAAGCAACCCATAGAAACCCATAATCCAACCAGGAACCGTGCCCCCAGTCCTGCACATGATTAAATACATGGTTGAGAGTGAAGACGAACAGGGCCTACTCTTGACAGTTCCTCTGTGCCTCAAGCACATCGCAGAAGTATTCCTGGATCAGGCTCAACGGACAGAACTACTCTTTAGTTGGTGCGTGTGAAGGAGGACACAGCGTGGCGCGCGACACAGTGAGCTGAGGCACGCAATTCTATCTACATCCGCAACCTAAGCTGGGACCCTAGATACAGGCTGGTCGCTCTTCGACTGCCGAATAGAGAATTCTACTTGATGGCAATGCAGATGGAATCTGTCCTGGCGATGCACCAGTCAAATTCTGCCTTCTAGACTAGTCTAGATGTACAAGTGGTAGTAATGATGATCATGATGTGCAAATGGATAGATAGATTGAGTATCAGTTGTAGTACGTATAAATGCGCAAGCAAGTAATACTATTAATAGTTATCCTGAGTGTGAACGTGAATATGTGCATATGTCAGTATGAATAGAAATGAAAAAGAACCTAGCTACCAAAATGCAGCCGAGGTCCTCAGGTCAGCGAGCAAGTCTTACGAGAGACTTTCGGGCAACAGGGCTTAAATTGCGAGTTTGTGTGGGCATGCTTCCAAAACTGGGAGATGCGCATCTCAGGCAGTGCGATGCAATAGAGCGAGCCATGCACTCAACTGTTTTGCAAGTTGGACGGCCATCTAAATGTGGTAGTTCTTGATATTGACAGTGAGCATGGCATCCGAGCAGCAGCATTCGAGCACAGATGTCGCAATGGATAAGGTTCTCTTCCGTTCCTACCAGGGAAGGACAGTTCTGGAAGACCAGCGCAACATGAAAACCTGAAATTCGGTTCCACGAGGACAGCAGAGTTCTTCGCACAAGTCGATTTTGCCACATCGAAGGGTGTCTTGGAGGCCCGGCCTTTCACGCAAGTTAGCGGCCGTGGTTCCCACGCCTTGCCAGGCACATCAACTCAGTGGCACCAAGGCGTGTCATTTTCCCGGATGGTGCAAGAGGGTGCTATGTAAGCCATGTGAGCCCCGGGATCTGTGCAGGTCATGGGGCAAGCCATAGAGGCCGGTGCTGTCGCGCCGTATGAGAGCTTGTGGTATTGGCTGAGAGTTGCACTGTTTCAGATCTCCGTCATGGACCCGGGCTCCAAAGACATGGCCCGGAAGGCTTGACGGCTAGTGGCTGGTGACGGCTGATTGGCAGAGACGTGATGCTTGCAGTTCTGAGTGGATCTGCATGAGTGTCCGAGCAACCCAGCCCACGTGCCAATGGCAGTGTAGTAGGGCGTCTGGAAATCAGATCCTGCGGAAACGATCATGCAGAAGCTTTTGCTGTGCTGTCTGCTCGGTGCGAAAGGGGGAACTGAGCATGTGCTATCGTGAAGGGAACTGGCGCGAGCGGCATGTTCCAAGCCTTCATGCCCAACTGATGACCCAAAAACTGCTTGAGGTAAGACGAAGGTATCCTGACGCAACTAATCTGTAGAGCACCAACTCACCAAAAGAAGCAAGCAAGATCAGGTACCTACTGTTGATTCCGTGGGAAAATTGAAGAGCACCCTCCATGCCTTGCCAGAGTCTGCCAGAGTGAGACAATTCTCGAGCTGCGGTGTTTGCTTCTTGGCAAGGCGAAGCAACAGCGCCAAGCACAGCACAAGTCAGTGCATAAACACGGTCCTACGACGCGCCCAAGACTTCACGGTGTATTGTGGAACCGTTGCCACACCCTCCTAATGTTTTGAGCCCTGTGTCAGATGTGGAACGTCCAGCGGCCTTGGGAAACGGTGCCCGAAGCTAAATCCTTTTTGCAAGCTGCAACTCTCGCTGGCTGCTACTGTGCTGGCGGTTGAGGCCTGAGGACCAGGAGGAAGAAGCTGCGACACAGACAGAACCGCAAGGAGTTCAGGCGGAGTACTTCAGGCTAGTTGGGACAACTTGGCACGACATTCGGTCACCTTTCGCTGCCAGACAGGGGGCATGAATTGATATGTATTTTCCGCAGCATTCAGGACCTGCCAGCAAGAGTAGCAGTTGAAAGGCTTGTGGCCATGACGCTCACGTATTGGGAGAAATGGAACATGGCTGCCAAGCTGCACCAGGGGTGTGGGGTTTCACTGGCTGCACCTGCTTGAGTTCACGAAGGTGTGGCTTGCCGCCAACTTTTACATCCACTTCGGCTGGGAGATTAGAATCTCGACATCAGTTGGGGGCAGGGAAGCAGGGAAGTAGCCTGAAGGCCTCTGATCCGACCGAGGTTTGCTGAACTTCTTCGACTATGCAGAATGGAAGGGAGGGCCCGAACCTGAGCCTTGTGGCTTCCAGATGCTTCCAGGATTCCCGCCGGTTATCGAATTGCCAGCGGATCAGGTTCAAGTCTTGGAACCCTTTCTGCCAAGCTTTCTTCAGCTACGGCGACTATGACCGCCGCAGCCTGGCCGGCACATGCAGCCATCACGTAAAGCACATGGACAGCGTTGTTGTCGCCGCGATATCAACTCGACGATCCCAGGCTACAAGCTGAAGCCACCGGCCGACTATCACGGCACCAAAGCCAGCATCGACAAGGCAGCAGACATCCCCAAATCAACGCAGTCGCTCCGTGTTTTGCGAGTCTGACACCAGGTGGTCTTGGCCGTTGAGGTGCCTGCTGGAATCATCGACGGTGCTCTGTGCTGCATGTGGTTGAAGGCCACGCGCTCTGTGAGAGTCTCGTTGAGCCGATAGAGTCTTGCTGTGTTTCTTCTTCGCACGATCTGTTCAACAACCTGCAGGGAATTTTGGATAATGCGTGGTACAGAACCTTGGCTTAACAGGATTTCAGACAGCCTTTCGGAAGGGAGAGCTGGCAACGTGTATGTTGATGCCAGGTGCTGCTTGAAAACGAGTGGCCGGTTGCATGGGGGTGCTGACTGCGAAGTATCCCAGGGTATCCCGTGCAGCTTGTCGTCAGCGCCCTCCACGCTTTCGGCACCGTCGTTTTCTGGTCCGACGAGCTGGTGCCTGGACACTTGGGGCAAAATCCTTGCAGCATGTGTAGCACACCATTCGCAGAAAGACGTGCCACTGCTGCAATGTGCAAGTCCGTGGCTTGCGGCCTGGGAGCTCAGGATGGATGAACTGGATGAGAGGCCGGCTTGCTGCGGGGGTGCTCCTTCCAACAGCATGTAGGAGAGCCACACTGCTGAGGCAAGGGCTGGAAATGGACCCACACGGATGGACCCAAGTCTATCCACTGGTGGTGGGCCTTCATCGGTTCCTCGGTGTGTGTTTTTCCTGGCGGTGTCAACACTTCCGAAAACTTGGAAACTCGCCGTGCGCGGCTCAGGAACCAACCTGGTCTGGGTGGTCGTTCCGATGATGTATGCGAAGAGTGCACCTGGACCGAATAAATTGGGCACAAATCTACGTGTAGCGTGCACATCGGTACATGCCTCGAGGCAATTGATGTCATCAAGCCCGCAATGCAAGCAGCGCTCAAGAATTGAGCACCAGGACAAAGTGTCAGCAGGAGCTTTTGTCCGAGAGCCAGTGTTAGCCTGTGCTCGACAATGCCGTTTCTTTTGGACTTCGCACATTCGTACCATCTGTCTGTCCTTCCTTCTTCGCATCTCACGTTCCGCCGTGCACCATGCACACTGGAACATCACTCCATGCAGGAGCTCAAGCCACAGGCTCGTTTCTGAGAGGATTTTCAAATTGTTTGTTCTTTAGGGTCGTGCTGAAGCGAGCAGGGCCATTCGGGTATCGAGCTGGCGTGCAGTCATGGAGGCTCTTAGTCGTATTTCAGTAGTTCAAGTCTTTTTCTGGGCTCCCATACCGAGTCGAGTGGCTGCGCGACCATACTAGTCAAGCCGCATTTTAAGGGCTGGGGCATGGAGGTGACTCCACTGTCAGTCCACGGTGGCTCTGTAGGAGTACATGATGATGACACTGCGACAGAAAGCATGAGAAAGTGATGCATTGCATGTTCGTGTTCAGCAACCTCTACAGACTCGCATCGACTGCCGTCGAGTCGGCAGCTTGATTCAGGAAGTTCAAGGAGGCAGAAGAAGATAAGAGGCTCCGAACAGCCCAGAACTCAAATGGTATCTCTGCAGAAGCCGAAGAGGCATCTCACCGAATCACAGCGACCTACCAGGTACACATTGCTGGTCTTGCTCCAGAGGCTTCTGCCGGGATTTACCTCGCAGACCCAGACTTCTCGGAATTCAACCACGGAGCTTGCGACATTTAGCTGTGTCTTCCTTCGGTTGGCTTCAGACAGATAGGGCATTGGATGAACTGCGCTGGAAGGTCACGGAGGAGGATGTGAGGCCTGTCACTGCTGCATCTTGGTGTTCGCATGCAGGCTTGTGGTTGTGTAGCTGGCCGAACTCGCAGTCTATGCAAGTCCCATTCCACGTAGATGTCTGTGTCGTGTTGGGCAGCCTGCGAAGTGGTCGGTGTTGCTTCTGGCTCAAAGCTGCCGACGGCGGAGCCCCCGGCCAAGTCGGCATCTCGTACCAGTCGGGTCGGAAGAACGAGGGGGCTTCAAAACCGTTTTCTCCCGAGGCCTCGGCGGGCTCCAAGGACATGCCGTTCGTTCCGATCGCCAGTCGCAAACCCCATACTCTGCTGCTGGATCATGAGAAGGCTTTCGGCAGCGTGGGGACTTGGGACTCTCATGTCTTTGTTGCTGCGGTCCATAGCCTGCGCAGGCGCGCATGCGCACGGAGATGCGAATCAAGGACCAGGCTCGCTGACGGAATATGTCGAGGGCAGAGATGTCTCAACCTCGCAGGCCATCGTGGCGGATCACTTCGGTTTAGCCCCTAGCAATGCTGGATACCGCTTCGGGAACCACCCTCTTACCAGAGGTCCTGTGAGGCGGGAGTTTAGAAGCTGCAATAGGACAGGACATGTCGCAAAATCACATTGGTCGGTCATCTCGTGCGTTACCTTGACAGGGGCCCAGATGTGCCTTTCCAGGCAGGATTTCCAGATGACATGTTATAGCCACTCAGGGTATCCAAGTGTTCAGTTTTTACAAGCATAGAGCCTCTGTTTGACCAAATTTGAGTTGAAGTTAAAGCTTCACAGCTAGTGCTTGCTCACGGCAAGTGACTAGTGCAGCCGATGCCTGAAAGATCTCGCAGGGCGCCACGGCTCCATGGAAGCCGTCGGACCAGGAACCCCAGGTGCAAAGATTGTTTTTTTCCAAGCTTGATTGGGCCGGACCGATCCCGCAGAGACGAAAGTCCTTGTTTATCAGGCTCTAAGGTTTGTGGTTGCCCCTTGCCAAGGGCTGAACCTGGGCTTTCACGTCACCTTGAGCATGGGCATTTAGCCGACGAGCCAGGGACCGATGGCACAGTTGGAGTCCAAACAGGCGAAAGTTGGTGCCTACTGGGACCGACAGCGCGAGCGCAAGCAGCAGTTTGATGACGTATGCATCATGGCACGATGATCAAGTTGCAACATGTTGCAACTGGGACGCAGGATGGTGCGCACCAGAAGCTCGCCTCCATCCGCAAGGTGCATTCCTCCCCGGCCCTGCAGCAGTCGGCCGCCGAGGTCATGCAGGCACCAGCGAGATTCGATTGCCACCAGCTCGGAGCCTCGTTGTGTGCCAGGCGTGCCATCCACTCTCCACAGAGCTGAACCGATGGAAGAAGCTCGCCGATGCCCGGCTCTTATCGCCAATGTCAAGGGCCCACCAATACGGCCGATATTTGCCGATCTAGGTCACGGAGAGAGGCGAGGTGAACAAGGCTCCGTTTCGAGGGGATGGCATAGTTACTTGTGGTATGAGGTGTCTGCAGTATGTGAACAGTCACGCTTCTCTCGACATTGCTTGTTCTCAATCTTGCGATGTGTGACCGGAACCTGGAACCTGGATTTGCGGGCAGGAGCTCCAGGAAACACTGGCACAGACGCGAACGAAGTGCCAAGCCGGCACTCGGCCCAAACCAGTTTGGGCTGGTGGATTAGCCCGGCTCCTCAGACAAGAGATGCTTAGCACTTGTGGCACACGAACCGTGCTTCCAGGTCAACTTTCCGAAGTACATGCTCATCAACAACTGAAGCTCGCCTGCACCGAGCGACACCGCAAGCCCCGAAGATGCTGTATTTCGCATGTGTTTGGTTTGCCGTCTCCCTGCTGGTCCGAGCGAGCTATCTAAGCTCTTGGTTGAATATTATATGATTGTTTGGGGGTTAGAAGCACGGCAGCAAGTCGTCACGAGAGCTGGGACAGCCAGGCCACTTGAAGCAGATGGATTTGCAGCGCTTCGCGGACAAGCATGCTGCACCCGAGGCAAGTTGCGTGCGTGTCCCTTACAGCCTTACAGCTACGCAATTCTGTTCGAAGGGGGTCGTCACTGTATGAGGGTACTAAGTACTCGTTTCAGTGGATCCGCTGGTCGGAACCGTCATGGGAAGGACTAAGTACTCGTTCGTTTTGCTCTACTGCAGGTCCTTAAGAAGTCAGCACAGTCACGCTAGATGGTATTGTGCGGTTGGTTAAGACCGGCTGGCTCCTCAATCCCGGCGCAGGAGAGTGAGGGTGGAGGAAGCAATGCGGACATCGACACCAGCCCATTGGGCGAGGGCAGCGTCAGGCCTTGTCCCGCCGTGCTAGACGTCAGCTCACGTTTTACTGTCCTGAGTTGACCACAGCAACAGTTGGAGCAGAATCTGACGCATGGCCAGCACTTGCCACTTGCAGGTTCCAGGAGCCCTCGTGGGGAGCACCGCTGCTCAAAAGCAAGGACTTCGCCCATGAAGCCTCTGAAAGCCTAACCGCCTAAGCGATGAACAGCAGCTGCTGATGCCATCATTGTTGATGTTGAGGACTCGGGTGTGCCCTTCGCAGGCGACGCGACTCAAACGGACGCCCTCTTTCTAGCAATGAAGTCAACTTTGAGCTTGTCGTCTTTGTGAATGCTCGTGATTTCTTGCATGCCCCTGCGGCAGATGATGGCCACACTGCTCTGCATATGCCAGGCAGTGCTATGCCATCCGGTCGAGCCTGTCGAACTTCCAACAACTTTCGCATGGGATGAGGCATCATGCCCGTGCGCAGCCTCTCTTGTTCGGACTGTGGTTGCAGCGCCTGACTGTCGGAAAGGTTGGGAAAGCATTGTCTTCTGCTTTGCCAGGAGCGATGCGTGATGCAGAGACACGCTGCCAATCGCAAGCCCTGCAGACTGGTCCTGAGTCACAGCTCCAACAGCCAGCCTATCGCATGCTGTATTGAGTGCTTTTTGCACCAGTCTGATTCAGCTTTTAGATCTTCAGATGTTTGCTCCGACATGGGCACTTCTCCACAAAGTGGATGGACGGCTCTACCGGAGCAGCTTCAACTGCTCCAGCGAGCATCTTGCTCAGTGGTCCAAGTGTACACCGAAGACCAGGCTGTTCGGTCTCAGGTACCGTATCTTGGCAGTGCAGAGGTTACTGACGCGTTCAAGCCTCCAACGCAGCCTCTAGCCATTCATGCGCCACTGTGTTGTCGTGTGTGACAGTGGTCTCATCGTCTTTGCTGGATGGATGCCGCGTCGTTTCACCTTGTCAGCCGTGAATGCAGCAACCGCCTTCATGGAAATTGTGCCGCTTCGAGCATAGGACAAGGATGACCACTCTGAATCTCCACTACGTTTGCATCATTCATCAGCCATGTGTTGAGATTTCAAACAGGGTAGTGGTCCGTCTCGGGGTGTGTGTGTGTGTGTGGTTACACAAGTCAGCGTTAGTATGGTAAATCCATCAGAACTTTGCTGCCATTGCTGCAAGACTTCCAGAGACAAACACGTCGTGAGAGTCCAAAAGACGGCTTCGACCGTTCCGATAGCTCGAAATCGGTTGTGGCGATTCTGTCAGTCAGTGCATATGCAGCAATGGGGGGTTGTCGAAGATGCTATAAGGGTTGCGTGCCGTTCCGTGCCAGCAGTCCTGATATAGCAGACTAGGTCACGAGGAGTCTGCAACATGCAAAGAAGAGGCTGCATAGCATCTCTTCTGAAAGTCTTATGGGAATTTGAAATGAAAGCAACCCTGAATCGGAACCTTCACAGACGATTATGCCGACCATGACGACCGTACAGGAACGCGCACAACAACCCCCTTATCCTTATCGAAACCCCTTATTCCAGCCCGTCTAGGAAGCTTCTTATACCAACCTTTATAGCAAGCCTTTAGGAAACCAGTGGTTAATACCTGGCCAGGGTGATTTGCAAGCAGTTCGGCGAGCTGGAGGCGCTTCGATTGGACAAGGCCAACCATTTGGAAACGGGGCACAGGGGTTTAGGGCGTGTAGATAGATAGATAGAGAGAGAGAGAGAGATATATATATATATGTATAGATTAAGCAGAAACATCGACATGTTCACATACCCACACATACACGTGCACATACACCCGTATACAGTATACATGCACGCAGATACATTCACGATCATTCACGCATTCATGCGTTCATGCATGCATACATGCATGCATACGTAAGCCTGGGCCTTGTGTGCCTGTGTGTGTATATATTTATATGCAGTTGTTTTTCTCAGCTTGCCTTTTAATTCGTATGTCGGTTATATCCACAAGCACGGTTACGATCCCTGTCGTTCCACCCCCCCGTAGGACAGCGACGGTCAGCCCTTCGTGCTCGTGGAGTTCAAAGAAAGAGGTGCGGCAACGCCCGATACAGCGTAGCTGTCGGATCTATTGTGGTTACTGTGCGACGATGTGATGCTTGCTACTATCGACTCACGAAGCTCAAAGCACCTAAAGACTTAGCTGGAGCCTCCATTTTGCACTTTCCATCCGAGCTTCCGAGATCCAGAAGGCACGCATGGTCGTCCAGCCAACTGCTGCCTACTGACCATGGCGCGTCGTCTATTGGGCATGCCCCGACTGGGAAACATGATCTCTTCTCTACTTGATGACTCGAAGCTGGCCAAAGTACACCCCATTCTGCAAGGCCTTTTGAGCAGGACAGAACTCAAGACGCTAACGGTCGCAGAAATCATTGCGGAGGCTCAGAATGCAGCAGACCTCCTTGGCTTTTCTGCCACAAATTGCATGACAAATGGTTACACCCAAGAATCTCAGGCTTTGAGGCTCGCTGCCGGGGCTGCTCTGGAGGATTTGGTAGATTTGGGCCTGGGTGAGCCACTTGATGGGCCACAGGGCTCCTCCGGAGCTATGGCTGAACGAATTATTGAAGCCATGGACCAACTGATCATCCGCCTTTTGGAGTACTCGCCTTCCCCGGACCCGGCAAGAGCATGGCAGTGTGCCCAACGTGGTATCGTGCTGGCTCGCCGGAGCAATCTTCTCCAAGCTGCACGCCGATTTTCAGCCGCGGCTGAACTGATCCTCTTGCAGTATCCGTCTGTCGCTAATCAGAGCCACGCCCCGGGCAAGAGGAGGCGCCTCGGAAAGCAGTGGCTCGAGCCGTGCACGGAGACCGACACTCGACTTGAGAATGTCATGCAGGAGCAGCTGATGCATGCCGCATCCGATGTAGCTTTGACCTTCAAGGCCGTGGATCGCTTGAGCTTTCTGTCTGATGATGCTTTCAAAAGATATTCCATCTTGCGGCAGCCAGTAGTGGCCACGTGCGCGGCAGATACACTGCCTGCCCTCCATCTCCAGCAGCTCGTAGAGATGTGTGAAGAGCGTCAGTTGCAGCTGATGGAGTATGACCCAGCATGTGAAGCGTGGGCCAAGATGACACAAGTGGAAAAAGATGAACGAACCGCAGGAACGGGAAACCAAAGCCTGAGAAGTGTCGTGCAAGGCTGGGCAACGGGCAAGCATCACGTTCTTTTTGATCATCCACTCGAAACTGCCTGCCCGGAGTTGGCTTCACGAATACGCTGGCCAACCTTCCTTGAGTCTTGCGACCTGGTCGGGAAGTCACCCTTCGCAGGCATGCAGGGTCAGGACCCCTTCTGGGATCACCCAAGCTTGTTCGTCCAGCCGACGGGTTCCCAGTGCGGCGCGCATGTGGACGGAGCCGAAAGCCAGTTCATCCAACTTGTGCTCGCGGGGCGGAAGCGCTGGTCCTTCTGGCCGCTTCAACTCAGTGACCAGTTCAAAGTGCTGAAGCGGCAGGACAAGCTGCAACTGGAAGTATGGTCAGGCTCAGAGCAATTTCGGCATCAGATCCGCCATGATCAGATTTTTCCTGAACAAATGCCTGACGTCTGGCGTGTGGATGTGGAGGTGCAGGCAGGTGAGATGATCGTTGTTCCGGGCGGTGTGCCTCACATGGTTACAAATCTGCAGGACTGCATCGCTGTGTCGCGAAACTTCGTGGATGTCCACCACGTTCACAGGTGTGCAGATGCCTTGCGATGGCCACTGCCATATCATGACCTTGCCGACTTCTTGGAGCAACAGAATGAAGCTAAGCTCGAAAACACGTATGTTCGACAGTCAACACTGTAATCACGAACATGTCAACGTACTTCAGACTTCAGACGTGCCGTCGCCGGATATGCTCAGTGTCGTAGCAGAGCCTTGGCATCCGTGCTTGGTATTTTGGTGCAGGTTCAGCCCAAGTTGTGAAGCGGACGTGGTAATCTCAGGGGGGCCACGAAGTGCTGGTGTGGCTGATATGCGAGTGTCTGCAACCAGTGTAGCAAAATGCCGGAGTGGTACAGAGAAGCTGCTTGAATGTGTTGCCAAGGGAAAAATTCCTCGTCGAGGAGCGCGTCCTTGCCTTTACAGAGGCTCCGTCCACTTGCACAGATGCGTAGTTCGTGTGGGAAGGTGCACTGCAACGAGCTGAAGCAAGTTTTGTGCACTCATGCCGTCTTATGTTCGGGTAGGGTGGGAGGCTGCTGCTTGAGTCGAACAACCAGTGCAGTCCATGAAGCTGCCTTGAAGCGTGACTTCTTGCGCTTGGATATGTTTTGGAATTCTAGGCCAAGACGATGGTTGACACGACGTCCTTTGCAGAGCAGAGCCCGACCCTTGTCGTCGACAATTGTGAAAGCTTTCAGCCGCCCGCCAAAGAAAGGCGTCCACTTCAACCAGCCCGCCTTTGACACCACAACGATGAAGGCCACTTTGGCGGGTAACCGGATGGAACCGTCCCGTGACACTTAATGAGATGGTTGTCTTGCATCTGAGGTTGTTTTGGCATACCAGCCGGGCCCCGAGTCCCCTGCCTGCCTACTGTGCGGCGGTGCTTGGAGAATCCACGGTGTCCGCACAGAGCTTTGTCTATGCCCTGAATGGAGGAACCTGAGAGCCCGTGCATCCGTTGCCGCGAGACACAAGCCGGCAGCCAATGATGCCTTCTGCCATGCCGCACCGGAGCTCCCTGAGAGACGGGAGCCAGGCCGTTGGCGGTTTACGTTTGGACTGTATGTGGGTTGTCGGTCGTCGACGAGTCATGCCACATCGAGGATCCCTGGTTGCTTACGTAATTATCAAACGGCAGTGTGGCCATGTGTTAGCGGATCCGACAGTAGGGTTCGACTCATGACATGCCATCAGAGCTGTCCTCGAGACCCTTTTTGTACGAGCACGGGTCAGGCAAAGCCGTGGAGGCCCAATTGAGCCATATTGACTTGTGAACTCGCGGGGATGAAGCAGCCACCCTGCCCAACTTCAATGCTGAGACGACTACTTGGTCTCGAGAGCCTTGTGCTGACAGGCCGATGCTCTGCAGGGCCATGACCTGTCCGCAGCTGAGACGCTGGATGCTTGAGCGAACCTGGAAACCCGTGGTCAGACGGCGTGGTGTAGCTCCAGTCAAAATGCAGCTCATCGCTCCAATTAGGCAAAGCATGCAGATGCAGAGCATCTCGGAGTCGGAGGTGATGACTGCCGGGCCGGCGCTCGAGGTTCGGAGAGGCGGCGCAGCCCACGCTAGCTTTCGAGCCCCTTCGGCAGGCTTTGATGCAGCTCTGCCACGAGGGCGCTTCCCTGATGGCCCTACGGACCGCGAGCCGAAGCTTCTGCGGCGCAGCAGAGCGGCCGGGGGCCATCGGGGCCCATAGGGCAATGGGACTCACCGCCGTAAGCTCTTGCAGTCTTTGTTGCTCAGGGTGGGGCGCACAGGGAATTTGCCAAGATGGCCACTGGTTCTAATGATCACTGTGGACGAGTTCGTCAGCAAGCACCGTGCCGGTCTCAGTCGCTAGATTCTAGATAGATAGATAGATAAGCAGATAGATAGATATGTATTTGTATCTATACAGACACAGACATACCCTTGTATATGTATATGTATATGTATATGTATATATATATATGTATATGTATATCTATTTATTTATGTATGTGTACATATAGCTGGTCTGTAACAGGCCAAAACCAAAACAAACGAACTTCTGGACTTCTGGATGTCTTTAAGAGTCTTGTGATGTACACGGCACTTGACACCCGTCCGATAAGGGAACTGTTTTCTGAAAGAGTCAAACACTTCGAGTATGATGGATATGTTACCTCGTCAGCGACAGGAATAGTAACAAGGCCACCAAAACAAAAAACCGACTATTCGAGGAACCACAGGCTCGAACTACAAAATGCAAATCCAACTAATGGTCAAATCGCAACACTCTGGATTGAAGCGGATTCAAAACGTGTTGAATTCAATACCTCTCGGATCCAAAATTCAAGATTCATGGCGCAAGGAAGAATTCTCCAGGGCATCTTGAAGCTTGAATCTTGGACCCGAGGCGTATTCAATTGAATCCGTTTGAATCCGCTCTCTATCTTGTTCCTATGTATGTGTGTATGTATTTTTGCACGGAGCGGTCCATTCACCAAGGACCTTCCGAGCCCGAGTTTGTGATCGAGTTCGAACGTGGTGAGACGGCAAGCTGCACTTACACAATCCACAGATGCACGCAGGACAGACGGCCGCCTTTTCGGGTTCTGTGCATCTCAACCCACTCATGGCTTTCGGGTGACAGGAGGATCAATCGCAGAAGGAGCGAGTCCAAGTGCCTCATGCACAGGTCGTCGCACACGGGCAGCATATGAACTTAATGCTGTGCTTCAGACCCGGAACATCAGATGCAGCCACCAGGGCTTTCCCATGCCAGGGTCAGATCACACTCTAAATAGTCTCAGTTGCAACGGAAGGTCGATATCTTTCCCCTTCCCGGTGAAGAAACATGTCATTGGTCAAGTGCATCAGTCAAAACCCAACGCCCAGGAATTCATTCGTGGCCTGGCTGCAATAGGATTTGGGTTTTCTCGTGATTCACCGGTCGATCCCTCTGTCGAAGGCAAGCTGGGACGGTTACGCCATGGTCTTGGCATGGAAAACCGGCTCTGGGCGCTCCCAAAGCTGCAGCGCAGAGCGACGCTCAACCTGAACATGACGCCCGAGGAGTGTGCTTGCAACATGGACCGGGTGAGCCCATTGCTGTATGCTCCATGCTGTTCGCAGGAATATGCCTGGAGTAGCATGCAGGCCCAGAGTGGCGGTCGCAGCTAGTCAGCCCGTTTGCAATAGTTCCTCCAGAGGTTGCAATGCAGTGCGATCCTCGAGCTTCAAAGCGGCTGGTCGTACTGGATGCACAGAAGAAGGCCTGGAGTCTCTGGCTAAAGCTTTGCGATCATGCTTCAGTCTTGGAGGTGATGCTGAAGCACACCTTCTTGGATCCAGCCGCTTGGCCATCACGCAGCACACGTGAGCTCGAGTAGGCATCAAATCCGACTTGAAGCTGTCCGCGTGGCTCCCCGAGGATTATGTTTTGCCTCAGCCTGGCCGAGGACCGGCCTGGCTCCTCGGGTTCTAGGGTCTGTTCTGCGGCGCTGACTGTGGAGGGTGTGGTTCCGTGAAGGAGTCTTCCGCAAGATCGACAGCAAAGGGATTCACTGCGACCGTGTGCACAGATGTTTGCTGCGGCAAATCCGCGACCTCTGCGGTGCCCTGAGTTGATAGAAGGCGGAAAGACGAATTGAACCTGCTCCATCGTTGAGAGGCCTCCGGCTGCTTTTGTTACTGGCAAACGTTCCCACGGCTGGAGTCTCGACTGGCTCAGGGCCCCGGCAAAAAGAAAGAAACGCCCCCTGTTTCCAACAGATCTGCACAAAGACCTCGCAAAAGCCTGCTTTCCCTTTCCCACACCTCCATCGCCTGCTGAGATAAGGTGGGAACCCGAATGCCATCGTCGACAGCTGCAGCTTTGCCTTGAACCCTCCCTGCCTTGGGCTGCCTTTGGCCTGCGGCGGGTTCGAGTCTCTGCCAGACATCTTTGCCGACTGAGGCCGGGGTCTGTCTTCTTGCTGGCTAATCCTTGTCACATCCGCGCACCTGCAGTCGCTACTCTGTGTTCGACTCCTTGGATCACGCAAAACTTGTCATATAGCCATGTTATGCTTTCAACTTGGCATGTGTTGCTCCTGCACCTTTGTGCAAGTTTGTCCAACCATGGAAACACTACCTCTATATTGTAGTTTTCGTTGCCCTGAATGCCACTTCTCCGCAGACTTCTACCCGACGAAATTTCTCCTATTCTCCTCTCATTCTCGTCTTTCCTCTTGCTTTGCACGAGTCAGGCGCAATATTTTCGACGTGGGCTGCTGCCTGAAATTCACAGCGGCGCTCTGCAACTTCTGCATCGCGGCCAGGATCAAGTCAACAAGCACTTGAGCCGTGCGAAACCTGGACCCAAAGCAGAGCCAGGGTCTGGAACACTGCCAAAGAGCACAGCGATTCCAATAATTCGTAGCCATGTGGGCTCGCCCAGACCAGAATGGGCGCTTTGCAAATTATAGCAATATTTCTTGGTGCAGCACCTCTCGGAGGCTTGCTGAAGGCGGTGATGCGGTCACTCCCTGAACTCTCTTGAATCTTATGCTTATTTGGAGTCCATCGGAAAAGGAAATCAATGCATAGTTGATGAGTTGGCCGTGTCGGAGAGACGTCTTTCCCTTGCACGTGTCGTTCAGGTGCCACTTGAACCCCAAGCTCGCAAAGGCAGAGCCACGTAACATGCCATGCCTTTTTCCATGACGTGAGATAGGCCTTCATGACCCACCAGGCCAGAGTTGAATGTACAAGAGCAATCCTTGCCAGGCCAAATTGGCAGCTGCACAGATTGCCGGGGAGTCGGCACCTCTGGCAAGCTGCCTTCTGTCTTGATGCCTCAACGGGACATGAGCTTTTCAGGGAGATCCCCCAAGAGCTAATCGACGCAGCCAACGAGAAGCCGAAAGAGGAGGAGTTCAAAGCTCACCCTCACGAGGGAAGATGCCTTGAGCTTGCAAGGAGGAGCCGATTGTGTGGGAGGGCCGCGGCGAGCGGCACACCTGGGCAGATTTCTACATTCCTGCAGTTGTATATGTCGGTGCAAGACTTTCTGAGGCGATCCTGCCCACTTGCCGCGAGGGAGGCTCCCAAGGCCATGTCTCACGAAAGACACCTCTGACTCTGCACATCAACGGCCGACCGCATCGAGTGTCCCGCTGCATGAGGAGCCGGAAAAGCGCCCACGTGATCATGACAGGGGCACGCGACCTGTGCCACATGTTCGGCGGGATGTGCTGCCTGTGCCATGCAGGTCAGAGTGAGCGTGAGAGGAAGCCTCGAAGGCGGCGCTCAGGAATGGACAGTCGCGAGCCGGGGCTTTGGGCAATCAAAGTGCCGAAGGCAGAAGGGTTTTTTCAGCTCGTCGTGACTCGCAAGGCGACACCACGCTTCGCGAAGCCGCTCCCGCAGGTCCGTAGGTGTGGTGAGAAAAGACTTGGGACTTCCGCAGACAGCCTGTCACTCAGGCCGAGGCATCGCAGAAGAAGAAAGCCTGACCCGGACAAAGCGAAGCCGGACAAGGCGACATCGGACAAGGCGACTCCGGACAAGGACCGGCCACGCAGACGGGTCTACGAGAGTTCATGCTGCCGCCGAGCAAGGCCGAGAAATCAGCCAAGGCGGATGCCCGAAAGTTAGCAGCCCAGAAGGCTGGCCCTGCCAGGATCGATCGGTTGTCCCTCTGTCATCCTTTGATATCCTTTGTCGCAGGCGCTGGCAGCGATGCAGGAGGAGATGGCCCCAAAGCCGGCCGGAGAAAGGGAGGCGGAGGACGAGGCGTTTCGTACAACCTGCCACAAGTTGAATGTTGAGGTCAAAGACTCTGGGCCTGTGAGGTGGAGGCGGTTCCAAACACCGAGCTGTTCGTTTTGGGCTCCTCCGAGTCGGGGCCTTCAAGCTGACTGCAGCAAATATCCATCCAAAGCATGCCACAGTAGATACGAGATATCTGTCAGTCTACACACCCCGCACCGTATGTATTCATACCGGCGGAGGCGGTAGTCCTGTGAAGCAAGACAGGGAGCGGGGGCGGGAAAGAGACACAACACATGCTCAAATGACCTGCCATGAGACAACTGCTTTGACGGATTGGACTTGTAGCCTGCACCTGGCAGCTTTGATGTACAAGAAGGGGTGCGGGGCAGGTCCTCCAACCCGCCCGAAAGAAGGGCAGAACGAAGGGTGCCTCAAAATAACGCGCACCTCGCCTGATGTCTAGATTCTAAGTTGTATTGTTCGTGTTTCAAACAGTTCTGGAATGTTCTGGATCACGGAAGATACGGTGAAAATGATGATGATACTACGTCCGACTTCCAGTATTTAGCTGTTGGCCTTGATGTGAATGCTTAAATCGCAGGTTTTGAGTGGGGATGGCGGAGTCATGTCTGTCGTCCGTCTAAATTCTCAAAATGAGACGTGCTTGCATCTTCGTGGTCTGCCCGGTTGCCTTGTCTCTTCCTTGCAAAGAAGAATTAGCCGACTTGGCATTGCTTTTTCTCTTCCTTGCAAAGAAGAAAATGTTGGAGTGCCGAAGTGTTCTTCGGGTGCAGCTTTGGTCGTGTGCTACAGGGTGCCGTCACCACCAGAAGATCAAGTGTCAGTATTACGGTCCACAAGAACCAACGGCTTCCGTGGGTCTGCCAAGCCCGGTCAGGTCTTATTCGTACGAGGACGAGGAGGAGGCGACGGCAACGAAGGAGAAGGAGGAGAAGGCAATGACCTCATGTTTTGTTGAGCTTGACTGTAATGAGTGTGCTGGTTGTGCAGCCCAGGTGATGGACGAAACCGCAAAGGCCGCCCTGGAAGCCGCGCAGGCTGCAGAGGAGGCCACCACATTTGCAACTGCGACTGCCATGGTCGCTGGGTCTGTGGCAGGAAGCCAAGCGGCAAGCTGAAGCTGCGCTGAAAGCGGAGGACTCGGCTTTCGACGCCATCTTCAGTTCTGGGCTGTTTGGCACAGGAAGAGCGCAAAGCCCTCGAAGCGCAGAAAGAGGCAGAGGCAGAGGCCTGGCCAGGTCCCATAAATCCCATGAAACCCTCTTTCCTAGCCCTGCATCGTTTCTTTGCAGATGGGACACCATCTTAAGCATGATTGGGAGTAGCGAGTCGCCGAACTCAGACGAAATTGCTGGTTCTTCGTCTTCGTGTGATTTTGTGTTGGCCCTTCGGCTCTCAACACTGGCAGCATCTGGCAGCCAGCACGGTGAGCTCCGACAAGCGTCACCCGACGATGGTGTCGCCCGCAATGAAGCGCCGACCAGGGCTGATGGAATCTGCATGGTGTGCCTCAGCAGCATGCCATGAAGCACAACATCGCCAGCACACGCAGCTGTAATGTGTTGATCTCCAGCGCGGTCAGACGTCGGAAATGGGAGGAAGCTCTGAAACTGTTCTGTCTCCCACACGGGCTTCAGAGGGACTTGATTTCCCACAGCGCTGCTCTGACAGCCTTCGAGAAGGCTTGCAAATGGCAGAGTGCGCTGGTGCTCCTTCGTCAGATGCGCTTTTCTCTGATTTCCTGCGATGTCATCGTTTACACTACCGCCATCAGCGCGTGCGAAAGGGAGTGGCAGCAAGCTTTGCAGCTCCTTGTGGACATGGAGGAAGGAAAGTTGGATGGTGATGTGGTTGCTTTCAGTGCTGCTATCAGCACTTGCGCAAAGGCTGAGAAATGGCAACCTGCGCTGGCCTTATTTGCACAGATGCTTTCAGCTACCATTCAGGCGGACGTCAAGGCATACAGTGCAACAATAAGCGCCGCGGAAAAAGGTGGCAGGTGGGAGTGTGCCTTGGCCATGCTCAATGACATGGAGAACAGCTTTTTGCGGGGTGACCGAGTCATATATAGTGCTGCCATCAGTGCCTGTGAGAAGAAGAAAGAGTGGCAGCATGCTTTTCTGCTTTTGCTCGGGCTCCGAGTCAGGCGATTGCGAAACGACCTCATCACCTACAACGCGAGTATCAGCGCTTGTGAGAAGGGTGAGCGGTGGAACGCTGCATGCGCTCTGATGGACCAGGCATGTTGCAACCAATTGCAGGTAGACATCATCACATTCAATTCGCTACTTCGGGCCTTGGGCAATGTTGGGCAGTGGCAAAGGTCTATTCAGGTTCTGCATGAGGATGCGCAGGATGTGGAGTTTGGCCTTTTTGCTTTCAGTGCAGCTATTGGGGCTTGTGAGAGAGGCTTCAAGTGGCGTGAATCGCTCCGGCTGCTTGTGGACTTATCGCGCAGAAGCTGGGTGGGCAATGTGATGACGCACAACAGTGCGGTGTTTGCATGTGCGAGAGCTGAAGAATGGGAGATGGCACTTTGGCTTTTCACGGACCTTCTTGAGACAGGTCGATTCGACGTATTCTCTTGTGAGAGTGCTTTGTCTTCCTGTGCGACAGGGGATCTACCACTGGCTGCATGCGAGCTGCTCCCCGTTGTGGATAGATTTGCTTTCGCAGCATTGCATGATCGACAGTGAAAGGGCCGCGATTCTCACCTCACCAGTCTACATCCTCGCTCCACAATCTTTAGACAAGGTTGTGTTCTGTGTTTCTGCCCCTAGCCTTTGCCCTAGCCGAACACTCCGAACACCTTCAAGAGACTCCTTTTTCAGCGTTGTCGTGGCCTGTTGCAAGTGGCCGCATGCGCTGGCAGTAGTCGCATCTGTTCGCCACAGGAGGCTCGGCAAGCAGCTCTCCGAGAGCAAGAGAAGAAGGCAAAAGAGGAGGAGGTCTCCTTGGTTCGAAGCTCGTCCCAGGACCTTCGAATCGTGCCGTGCCATCTGGGTCGAATCGTTGTCGGTCAATCCCGATTGCCCGGCTCGAATCGCCACTGAATTGAGCATGGTTGGTTCTCAAGGCCACTGGCTCAACATGCTCAGTAATTCTTTCGGACTGTTATGCCACATTGAGCATTTCAAAAACATGCATGCTTGCTAGAAGTCGGCACTGATTGTAGCTTGTTGGAATCCTGCAGCGATTGCCTGACTTTGATACAGAAGGCGGTCTTGGCATTCATTCATTCATTCGGTTGGCCACGCCTGCTGGGAATTGCTGGGGCCCGTTGCGGTACGGTCTGGCCGCCATGGGTCACACGCCGAGCACGATGATTGGACCCAGCCTGCTGACGGCGGTTGCTTCACCAGTGCGCCGGCCCTCTTTGGTCTCAAATGCTGCCAGGCAGCATCAGACCATAGTGGTGCGTGCCTCACAGAGCTGAAAACTGGCCTTTTTGCGTCGCTTGCTGTGGATGGCTCAGGCTGCTGCACAGCAGCGGCACACTCTCGCTATCCGCCAGGCTTCGGAACGTCCCGCTTGGAAATGTTTGGAAGTTTCAAGCCAACGTGACGCGACCATGGCTTTACTGCTTTGTTATCTCTGATTTCAGGCACGGTGCCATGTCAGTCCGCTGACTGCAGCTGTAATTCCTCTGCCTTGGGCTCGGATCCAGAGCCAGCCAGGCAGCAAAGGCGTGTGGATAGAGCCTCAAGATGTCAGACGACCTTTTGACACAGCTCTTCGTCATAGGCCTATTTTCGGTGTCCCTACTTTCACAACTGAGGCTCTGTGCATCAGGCTCGCGGCCGCCAGCTAGTGCACGGGCTCTGCACTACGGCTTACAGGAAGTGTTTCCCAAGCATCCATGGCAGGTGCTGGAGCCTCTCGTTCCTCACGAGGTCCACGGCTGCAGCGGCGCTGCACAAGGACTGCCCAGGTGGGCCGGCAAGTGAATTGGATACAAAGTCCGAGCCAGGGGCGCCGGACATGAGTCCTTTTAAGCTTTATACGCAGATCTACGTATGTGCAAAACGAACAGGTTTATCAGGTGGTGCTCTTAACGGATCCACGAGCTAAGGCAAGTAAGAGGTCCTGCCGGCTGAGTATACGATTAAGAATACAAATGTCAGACACACAGTGTGTCATGCTATGCTGCTCCCTTACATGCAATGTTTGCATATACACGCAGCGAGATAACATGCGGACCGCTTGCTTTACGAACTTGGAGCTTTAAGTTGTGTGTGTGCTGTCCTCGTCCATGATGGACAAATTGGAGCCACTCCTAATTTCAGCAAATTATACACCTTCCCAGACTGATCACCCACTGATTGGCCATCCTCCAAGTACCTGCAACGTGTTCTTAGCATGCAGTCCACTCTGACACCACAGGCAGGGTCAGGGACATGGTAGCCAGCAGTTACATGACATGAAGCCGGCACCCACCGGTGCATATCTCTGTGCCTACACAGGTGGTTATGCGAATACATATGCATCGTTCCTGTAATGCTCGTACGAACTTCCCCAATGTTACATACACGCTGCATGCATGCATACATTATACATGCACACATACATGAATATGCATACACAAGCGCTTGTACAAATTAGTCACGTTTGTGCATAGACGGAGTGTAAAGACAAAATTCCGAAGCAGTTACCATGTGTCCAGGCATGCGTAAATTGCTAGACATGAAAATTGCACAGAAGCGCGTGTACAGCCACAGTAGGCGAAGCTTTGAGCACAAGTACGGGCGAGTACCAGGACACGTCTAGACACACTTGCCCCAAAATAGGTTACCTGTATCAAACTCCAGCAAGTGACCCGATGTTCACATTGAAGTGCCCAGCATAAAGCTTTAAACGAGCTGTTGACACAGGCGCCTGTGAGCGTGGAGGAGGCTGCCAAGCAGGTGAAGGGGCTGCACCTGTACCCGGACTTCCTGAGTGAAGATGAGGGAACCTGGGTCTTGGAGCTCAGGTTGATTTTCGTGCCTGCCAAGTAGTTCATAGTCATCCTGGTAACACGCCGAAGCGTGATATTGCAGACTGCCCCTTGTGGCCTCGTAAGGACGGGAGCTCGCAGACTTTTTGGACCAGGGCGAGCCGGAGTGGAGCCACGAACAGTTCGGAGTTCCAACCCTCTACCGGGCTACCCGTCACGAAACATTCAGGCCATGAGGCCACATCCAGCGGATGTCAGTCTTGAGAAGGCTAGGGGGGCGAGGGCGGCCGAGGTGAAGCACTTCGGTGTCCTTGGCTCGCTGAGACCACGCATGGTGCGTGGCTCGGATTCACGACCAGAACCGAGCATTTGCTATTAATGCTCTGAGCCTTGGAGACGGTGATAGACGTGTTAAACAACGAATTGAGAGTCGTGTAGCAGGCCTTCCCGATCCAAAGCTTGGCGAAGTGGATCTGCCATGCGACGGTATCCTCGGGCTTGCCCTTCCCTCGGAAGCCTTGCCGACTGAAAGACCGAACTACTTGTCACCCGTCCTGCGACTTATGGCAGAGTCTGTGGCCAGGTGTCGCAGAGGCTTTCACAACAAGGTTTGCCATGGAGCGGCTGCCTCAAGGGATTCGTGCCGAATGAGGCCGGCAACATTGAAACATCTTTGCCTGTGGGACATCGGTGTTGACATATGTCAGGCTTCGCAATTGTAGCAAGGGAGGGTGAACGAAGCTCTTTAGGGGACTACTTCCCGAGAGGCAAACGTCAACGACTACAGCCGTGATGGCTCCAGGCTGCTTCTCCACTGGGACGATCGCGGCCTTTATGAAGAATGTGTCTGCTCAGTCACCGTCATGGGGGACTGCGTGATGACTTTCCAGATGGGAGGGAGGTCCAACCTGAGCGCACCCTCATCGAAGACTACAGGCATTGAGCATCATGTTTGGTCTGGCATGGAGATTAGCAGACTTCGCAAGTCAATTTCTGGACGGGCGAAAACTTGAATCCAGAAGTTAAGTAAACTGAAATCACGATTTAATTGTTTGGTTTTGACCTAGCTTGGACCTACCAAAGACACACATTAAATCTGGTTTTAAGCGTGTCTCTATGCATTTCTCAAATAAACAGTTACATCATGAGTTTACCGTCTCGCTGCATACCAATAGAATATGCTTAGAGACGTGTGCCAGTTGGCTAGCGGGATACCACATTAAATCATGATTAAATTGCCTAGTTTTTCATCTTTCTCTCGGTAACCACCAGTATCAGAGACTTGTGCCAGTTCGCCAGCGGGATACCACATTAAACCATGATCTAATTCCGTCACTTGGCGTCCTTCTCTTGGTCACCACCAGTAGTGTCCTTGTCTCCTGTAACGTTCGAAGGAAAGCTGGCCTAAATAAGTAGATCGCCACAATGACCGGTCGCAGGTCTATTGGGCTGAGGGATTGCAGGCTTCGAACCTTCCGTGTGTGGATCTTCTTAGAACTAGGTTGTGTTGTTCGTTCGTCTCGGTGCATACCAGTAGATTCGGCAAAGAGACTTGTGCCAGTTCGCTAGCGGGATACCACATTAAATCATGATTTAATTGCGTAATTTGGCGTCCTTCTCTTGGTAGCCACCAGTAGTGTAGCTGGTTCCTGTCATGTTCGAAGGACAGCTGGCCTAAATAAGTAGATCGCAGCAATGACCGGTCGCAGGTATTGTTGGGCTTTGGGAACCTCAAACTACCCAACCCAAAACTGTTTCTGTCCTCAGTCCGGATCCGACTTCGGAAAAGGTGAAGCGAGGCAATAGGCTGCTGATATGAGGTTTAGGAATTTATGTTTGACGGAGGCAATAGGCTTCTCGTATATGAGGATCTTCAGGATCAGCCTAGGAACCTTTCGCGAGTTTCTATGAGGTTTTAGTGGCAGAATTAGAATTGGGGTTCGTGTGAGGGTTACTAGGAGGGTTTCTCCGAGGCGTTAAAGAAAGCTTACAGGGCTTGGGGGGGCTTGTAGAATTAGACTAGGGTTCGTAAGGCTTCTTTAAAGGCTTCTGTACGGTACTGATGACCCACAAACCTAAGATAGCCTATCGTCTGTCCTTCCGCCGTCCCCGTCGCGAGGCTTCAGCTCGCTGATGCCTGCGTGTCCCTTCTCTGAGTTGCCCCTAGTAGAATAGCACCGTCGTGAAATAGTAAAAACCTAGTATAATCCTGGCTCAACCAGCACAGGTCGGTTTTTCCAGATAAAAACGGCTGGGGGCTTGGTAGAATGGTAAAACAGTAAAATCCTGGCTTAGCCGGCGCAGTTCGCTTTCCGAGATGCAAAACGTACTGGCTCAACCGGCACGTATCGGTTTTCGGGATGCAAGCTGTTTGGTGGCATGCATTTCGGGCGCGAACTTTGCATCTCGGAAACCCAACCTTGCATGTCGAATGCCACAGTCACGTGATCACACGCATGGTGACCCTGCATGGAATAGAGCGTCGTGTAACGTTCAGGGCCAAATAAATCATAAGTAATTACAGTGTGCCGGCCTGAGGGGTCCAAGATGGGTCAAAACCGAGCAATTACATCGAGGTTTATTTAATTTCAACTTCTGGATTCACTGCGTTCTGGACGGGCCGACTGCACAAATGCTATCTCAGCTTTGGCACAGGTGCCGATGCGCCTGTGGTACGTGTGGCCATACCTCCGCGATCACTGCTCGTGCTGCGCGGTTCTGCACGTACCCGGCTCAATGAGACCTGTTTGCTTCCTGCAATTTCGGTGGGCAAGGTCTGGGGAGCGTTTAGGAAGTTTAGGAATTTTAGGAGGATCAGTCGGCGAGTCGAAAGGTTAGCGGCTAGCGAACCAGGAGCATTCAGGCAACTCGTGCGGCTTGGGAACTGTCCTTGGTTGCCTTGCCTGAGACCTCATGTAATGTAGAGTGGGCATATCTCTTCGTGGCACAAAGCTCAGGCTACGAGTGGCAGCATGGAATTCCGCAGGCTGTCGCTCGGCTGCAGCTGGAATTGATTGCGCTTGCATTCTGCACAATATCGTAGGGTTTGTCCATCTGATGCTGAATCCTCAGGAAGATTTCCTATCAGACCGGCGCATGGCCATCATCTTCCGGCGAGTGAAAGGTGTGCCTCAGGCTGCCAAAGCTTCCCGAGACTCGGACTCGCTGGCTGAGAAGCCGGCGGAGGCAGGCAGCCGACGGAGACCCGATGCACCGGCGCCCTGCCGCGCCATGGCCCCTCGGCTCCGCCTGGGCTGGGCCTTTTTCCGCTTTGCTTTCCGTTGCTTTAATTGAAGTGCTTGCATTGCGAGGTCATCAGCACGAACTGGCCGGATCCGGACGTGTCTGCTGCAGGGCGAGTGACGGCTGGCCGGCTTCGCCTACTACGCAGCTTCTGCAGCCTCGACGCTCACTCGCCATCAAGACATAAGCGTTGCGGATTTCCGGCGGCATTGATTCGTTTGCCTCTTCAGCTGCAGGAATCTGGCAGTCCGGTCTCTTTTGCATCGCCGGCGCGTCCGGGCAATTCTCAGGGAAAGCTGTCTGCCGCGAACGAGGTGAAGTGTTTCCGATTCTTGGCAAGAGCCAGTTGCACCAGCTCGCCTATGTACGTTTGGGGGAGGGGTTCGACCACGCTGCAAGGCATCAAGAGCAACGATGAGGCCTCCGTAGTGGCGGCACTTGAAGCCTGGCAAAATCTGGCAAAATACTCTTGTCTTAACACCCCAACTGTTACCAACAATTGTCTTCTTCCGTGGCTGCTCACTCAGCCAGTGAGTTCGATTGCGGGCTGTGGTCCTGTCAGTTGGTAAATGATAGTATCAGATAGTATTCAAACAACATCAAGCACAAAAGTAAAGTAGACCGATGGCTTATTCACAAATTGTTTTCTTCAAGGCCTCCCCCCCAAAATAGGATCTCTAAACCCTATACAGGGAAGCTGGGTTGTTTCATCAGGGACCCACATGAAGTTCAAAGGAGTCTTCTGGAGATCCGGAGCTCGTTGTCTTCGATGGCTTCAATGCTGAAGAGAGGCGGGCCATTCAGTAGCTCCGAAATCAACGCGTGCACCGAGACGGAGTGTCCAAGGTTTGGGCACTACGTTCGGGAAAGGCAACCTGAAGCCATGCGCGTCCTGGACACATAGCGCATAGCAGACAAACAGAGGGAGAGGGAGCGAGCAACGGTCGGGCCTTCCTCACTGGGAGGACATGCAGGACTTCCATGCTCTTCGACTCGGTGCGACCCTGAGGAACAGTAGAGTCAGTAGATGCACGCTGTCGCGGGATCATGAAGTTTCGGCAACTTGACAATGCTCGACTGTCCGCAGCAGGTCGGGAACGGCTCATTGCGGGAGGTGCAGATGCCGGCGCGATTGTGCCTTGGAATGCATGCACGAGATCTTCGTGGCCATTCTGTCACGTAGGTGGACGTCAGCTTTTTGCCTGCATCCGAGGCCTCCTACCGTCCGAAGGCCTCCGACGAGGACTTGCAGCGTGAGCTGGCTTCTATCCATCGCAGCTCGGCATCAAGAAAATTACAGTGGCTTGGGGATCATTCTCAGATCTCAGTTGTTTCTGTGCTACCTCGGCCTGGACCCGCAGAGGATGTGATGCCACGCTGGCCATCTCGGAAGATGAGCGGGCTCTGCTAGTGGAGACCTATGGAGTGCCAAGCTGGAAGGCCTTTTTCTTGTCCCATGCCATATGCTTTGAAAGGAAAGGCAGATGACTCTCAGATGACTACGGCAGGTCGCTGCGGCACCTTTCGGCTTTCCCCGGCCTTCTCGGGTGCTGCCCAGCTATCAACGTCGGCAGGGCGCCATGTTCATCGGGAGACTCGACGTGCAGATGAGATGTGTTGGGAGTGCGTATGAGCGGTTCAGGATGTTGGTCCTGGAAGGCTCCACTTTTCGGTCCTTGTCGATGTCCGATCCAGGAACTGGCGCCACAGGCCGAATCGGGACTGCGCGAAGTGGCTCATCCAAGAGGTTTGGCCGTTGGTGCGCCAACGGTTGCCCGATCTGGAGCTGAGCGTCTATGGCGCCAATCAGACTCCAGAAGATGCTGCCCTGACTCAAGAGAGCCTCGGTGCTTACGCTGCGGGCTCAGAACTTTGGTCCTTGAGCATGGCATCATTGTTTCCTGACGCTTCCTTGGAGCAGCTGAGGTACGTGGCTACTGCCGCTCTGTGAAGAAAGCCATGCAGCAGCATCACCTGCTGGTAGCGCCGTTGCGTTACGGCGCCGGTGTGAAGGGGAAGGTGGGCGGCATGTTACCATTCAGCCAGCTGAGCATGCGATCTGCTGCGCAATTCTTGAGCGACACGAGTAGACTTACCCTGTAGGAAGCCCGCTGAAACCCAAGCATTGCAGGTCCTGGAGGCAATGCAGCATGGCCTGGTGGTGGTCACCACCCCTGTAGGCGTGGAAGGCATCGCTGCGCCCGATGATTTCCCGGGCTATGTGGTGGAAACTGGAGGGGAGGACTGCATGACGCTCCGTATCGGGCCCTGTTCGGTACAGTTGACTCAACAGACAGGACGCGGAGGCATTCGCCGAGGGCATCGTGGAAGCCTTGAGGGACCCGGCCCAGTGGGAGGCGAGGCTTGTAAATGACTCTAGTACTGTCTTTAGCAAGTTTGCGGGAGACGACAGTCGCTGGAGACCTTGCAGGAAGATTTTTGATGGCAAAGGCTTGCAAGCATCAAGCATGGAGTCCGACACTTGCTCGTCTTGTCAGGTGCAGCAGCAACGTGCGGCAGCGCTTCTTGCGGAGCGGTTTGATGAGCGCCTCGGCCTGTGGAGTCTGAGACATTGTTTTGCGGTCCTGGGCCTGGTGCTCTGACCCCATGCTTGTACGGACCATCATTGATCATGAGTTCGGACGGAGCCCAGAGCTGTGTGATTTGGAGGCCTTGGATGAACTGAGTGTGAGCATCCAACTTCGGCAGGAACGAGTAGGGGTCTTGTAATTTGGCGCAGGGCAAACAGAGACCGGAATGAGGCGATTTAGCCTGGTGGAAGTGACCTCTCATCTTGACTTGAAGAAAAGATCATTAAGGAACCGCCTGGAGGAGAAGTTGAGGCCTTCCTGCTTCCAGTCGTGCGTCGGGCAGAAATGACTGAGTAGCTATCTGATGTTGGGCATCTCCGAGAATCGATTCGTGATATCTTTCCCTGTCTCCCCTCTCCGTCTCTCTCGCTCCGGTGCCCTCTCGTGCGCTCCGTCGCCACCACCCTCTCTCTCGCTCACTCTCCTTCTCTCTCGGGCTGCCGCAGCGCTACTGGCAGGGACTTTCTCAGCGAGCGGTGGCAGCAACTCGAAACCGACCGCCAGCGCAACACGGTCACAAATGTTTCTACTGATAGAAGCTGTTACGATAGCTGTGGCAGCATGGCGAGTCAATGATGTCAAACAGACACACGTGTATCCGGTGTGAGTCGAATGTGCCTCGGCCGAGCGTCCGACGAGAATGAGCGGGAAATCGACAAGAAAGTGCGCTCGTGCCAAGGTGATTACGTCGGGCAAATGCTTTGGCACAGCTCGCTACGCTCCACCGAGCTGATGGCATTTGGCTCGGGTTGTGCTTGCGGCACCCTCTTCTCCTCAAAGCTTTCCCGAGACCTGAGGCAAAGTATATTGCCGCCAAAGAGCAGGCGAGAAGCTTGCAGCAATCCTTGGACCAAGCAGGCAGATGGTCCCGGCGCGAGAGTCATGCCTTGTGAGACCCACCTGCTCTAATTTGCGTGGCTCCTGTCTGCACCAGGAACGACATGAATGCTCATCCGATGCTGTGTGCAGCTTCATGAGAGAAAATGGAATCCCGAGGGTTGCTGGCGCAAGCTTCGAAGAACACCACATGCAGCGGCTTTTGCTTCCTCTGAGGAGTTCATCCAGGCAGCGTTGATGCGAAGAAGATTAGAAAGGCTGGCTTCCATGGAGGACAAACGCTTAAGACCCCGGGTGCTGACTTGGCCGCTCGTTTGCGGAGTCAAGGCAGCCCACCACACTGAAAACTTAAAATTGCTTCGAGTTGCGAGGATAGCACTGCGTCCCCGCCCCGCGAACGGTGGGTATGCCCGGCCCCCAGTGTGTCTGAATGCACTTCAGGCAGGACCTGCTTCAACGACAGAGGTCCTCGCTGTGGAGAGGACAACAAGCCCGAACGGCAGCTGTGGCCACAGAGATGCTTAGCACAGACAGAGTAGGAGCAAGGCGATGGAGGGCGAGGGATTGGATTTCAGCCTGACTAGTGCGGCCCAGGCATTGCAACAACTGCGGTGCACCAGCTCCGTGGGTGTGCCGCCCCCGGTTCCGGCTATCGCAACAAGGCCGTCTTCTTGAAGCACCCCTGGCCCTTGCAGCGGTCTGGCCCAGGTCGAAGTCCTTCGAGGCGGTTTTCGTCGTGCTTTGCCACACGGGTTGTGTTGGGGTGATTCTTGCCAAACAGATGTGATAATTACTCTATGGCTATGGCAGCTATGGGTGTTGCGCAGAAAGGTAAACCCAGCGCCTCGTTCATCTACGATTATAGTCCCACTGTTTGTTGCACTCCAAGGTCAGGCTGTGTGGATCGGTCAGCGCTAGACCGCTAGATGATGTGTTTTCGCAATGGCTCAAAGCCGAAAGCTCCAGCAATTTGCAACATCGGCGTCTACAGCCAGATTCAGCCAACAGACGTCCTAGCAGGATAGAATCAGGAAGCAACTGCCCCACAATGCAGACGACATTCAGCATGCCCGGCATGGCCTCGAGGCATGAAGACGCTATGGAGCTGCATAGCTGCGGCTGCAGTTGCTTGGGCTGAAGGGAGCCGCAAAGTTGAGGCGGGCCCGCCGCCCAGCTGCAACAACTGAGGTGCTATCCCAATGCGAGGACACGGAGGATGGATTTCGTGGCGACGCAGCCTGCGCAGAGAGCTGAGGGACGGCTTTCGACTTTCGACGTGCTGGCTCAGCAACCACAGAATGCATGACCGTCGTAAGGTCAAAGGCTTGAGAGACAACCTGCACAAGATCGCCGAAGACCTGGAACCAGCACCAACAGCCTTGCTTGCCGGATTGCAATCGATCCATCGGGGATCCATCAAGTGCGTCACCTGTGCTATGGCTGGTGTGGACAGCCTGACAAGACTAGCACGAAATAAACGAGAGCACCGGCATAGGGAGCACTGGCTAGGGATCACCGGTGTCGGCAAAAAAACGTTAGCCAGGGCTCGCAGACTGCACCTGAAGATGCGGTGTTCATGTTGCTGGCAATGTTTGCTGCAAATTCTGCATGTTCATTGGACCTCAGCACAACCACTTACAGCTGATTGCAGCTGCATGCGAGCCCTCCTTCAACAAGTTTGCGTTCTCATGAATGTACCTCCACACAGACATCAGTTCCCTGATCCCCACACAGCACGAGATGAGATTTCATTTATACCGGTGAGAACTGGCAAGGACGCTTCGTCGTAGTGGGCTTGTCTTGGAGCTAGTGGTCGGTTTAGAGAGGATCAAAATGTAATGACATGCGTGGTCGCCAGGCTCCGTGCGTACAGGCGACCTCTTCTTGGCTGCCATGACCCTATCATGCACAGGTGATGCGCATGATAACAGGTTTGGCTCATCCACGAGATCGGACAATCTGCTGAGGCCAAGCGTGCTCGAAGGTGAGAACCTCACGATCTTCCAGGCCTCAGCTGGAACGAGAGTGCAATGAGTGCGGGGATACTCTTCTTGCGCAGGAGGGGGAGCTTCGGCTTCGAGTCCTGCCTGCGGCCGTCAGCAGGAAGCCTTTCTCTTACAAGCTCACCGCAGGACAGAGTGGGACTACTTTTGCAGATTGCACGGGTCGTGAACATGGCACGGAGCATTCAGTATTGGCTTTGGGAAGTGAAGTCACCACACACCTGACACCAAGAGCACGACATTTTGCGACTAGCAAAGGAAGTGGCAATACACCTCTGCATGCCCCTGCCAAGGGTTTCTCTCGGACTCTCTCTCACTCTCTGTTGTGTCTCGTGCCCTCCGTTTTGTTCTTCTCTCCCTCTCTGTCTCTCTGTCGCTCTCTTCCCTGTGTGTCTCGTTGAACGCAGTGTGTAGAAGATAAGCCTGCTGCTGGTTGTCGCAGGATCGACAGGAACACGGCTGAAGGCCAAAGTTTTGTTGGAGGTGAAGCAATCAGCAAGGCATGTCTCTGTCGCTTCTCCGGAGAGAGAGACTTGAGAAGCTTTCGGAATTCGGAGCAGAGACACTCTGTCTGAGTATGGATGGAGGAACTGTACTTGCCATCTACTTGGGTCGGTCGGATTTGTTGCCAGCACTTGGGCTTTCCACGGCCAGGCATGAAGGGAATTTGTCGGAGAGCCTTTGCCTTGGGCGGCATGTCTGTGGACTGTATGCCATGTATGCCCTTCGAAGGTCAAATATGATCAGATGTGGTGTGTGTGACTGTATAGTAATCGTACCTCTGCCCCATGCATCACAGATGTCCTGACAACAAGAACAAAGCAAGTACAAGCTAGTTTGCGAGACCCACGTCTCATCTGTTACAGCTCGGCTCAGCCAATCTGGCACAGGTAAGAGGTGCCAGCGTTGTCATTGAGGGAAATGGGAGGAGTGCGTGCGTGCCTGAGTCTTTGGGAAGACCTGAAGCAGCCGCTCCAAAAACTGCCAAACCGTTTCGAACACTGTGGCTATGGCAGCGAGGCTCCACACATCCATACCGCTGACTCCCGGTCCGAGGGTTCCGCGGAGCCATGCTCGAGGACGGGGTGCAGTCAACAGGCAACACACTTGCGTGCCTAGAAATTGGCCGTGGCTCCAGGACCCACGCACTTGGCACGGCAGCCCAACATCTACGTGCTTGTTCTGGACTCTGTGCCACTTGGATGCGTTTGATCTTAGCTGCAAGCCGACCGTCACTCCGCACTTGGTCGACTTCAAGTTTCCAGAGAAGCACATCTGGCTCTCGAGAAATTCTGGAACGATTGTATGTAGATATCGATATCGAGTATCATCGAGTGTAGCACTTACACAACAGCAAGCATGCACAAACTGTAAAACTGTCCTGCCTAGCAGGGGCATCTCAGCACATGGAGTAGCGGCAGCACTTGCAGCGCATTACAGCACACCTTGGTGTCTATGTTGTTGCAACATGCAATCCTTGCCGAGCCATGTGCCTTGGAATGCTTTCATGCCTGCCGATGGTCGTGGAGGAAGATGGCAGGATTCGCTCCGTTGCCTGCCATCCCAAGCCTTTAAATACTGATTCTGCACGATCATGAAAGTATCGCCCTGCCACCTTCAAGCACTTTGATGCCGCAGGGCCCAAGCGTAGGGCCCAATATAGCTGTTTCCCTCGCCGGCGAAGCCGGCGGAGGGAGGGGCAGAGATGCCAAGTTCACAGGCTGGGCACGTGGTCAGGATCTACGGATCCCTTCTGTGTTTCAAATTCAGCCTTCTGTTCAGCCTTCTGTCTCAGATTTTGGTTACCACAACATGGATGCTGGCTCATGGAGTTTCGATGGTTTCGATCCTTATCTTGCAGGGGTCGCGCAGTGCAGCTCGAACGCCGATGAAGTCAGCCAGTGCTCCGCAGCTGGAAGGAACCCTAAACGTACCTCGGCAGCAAATCTAAATGCAGAGGCAGGACTTGCCGCCATGCATCCCTCGTCTGATTCTCCCGGCCAGGCCAGCATCCGAAAAACTCTGCGAAACCGTGGAGAGAACGACTTCGGCATGGTCGTAGGCAGAGATTCCGCTCTCAAATTTGTTTGCTGAGGCTCCCTGCCGATCTGCAATTTGCTGACGCTGCCCTGCAGGTCATAATTCCAGTGCCGCGGATGACGTGTATGTTCCGAGGGCCATGTGGTCGGACACGGCTGACAATCCTTTGAAACAGGCGGGTTCTTGTACTGCTTTGCGGCCGGGCTTGTCTCCTGAGAAGATTTCTAAGGCTGGCAACAACTGGGATGCCAGGGCCTTTGTGGAAGAGGTGCTGTGGCAACATTGTGTCCCGCCGTGAGCCCATGAATGAACACATGCATGTGGTTGCTTGTTGGAAGGAGAAGAAGAGAGAGCAGCACAGATTGGCCATGAAAGATTATTATCGACGAGAGCTGCTTGTCTTCGATCCATGTCCTTGTGAATGCGACTGCGGTTTCGGCATGTCCAGAGTGCGTGATGTGTCTTTGCTCACAAGATGTGGAGAAGGCTGGACAAACAGCTGGAAGAGAACAAAGCTTTCAGGCCCATCGGCCTATCTGTCGTTTAGCAATACTTCCAAAGTTGTGTTCGCACTTCTCCTTCAATGTCGGCTCAAACCGCTGCCTGAAGCCGGCACACTATGGTTGGTCAGATGGATGCTGCAGCATACAGTCTGCGATTGTCCAGCTTCAGACTGCCTGGAATCAGATCTTTACGTGGGAGGGCCACAAGGTGCTCCACCTCTGAGCATCAATCGTACGATGCCATCGTGGTGGGTGGAGGCTTTGCAGGGCTCGCTGTGGTAGCACAGCTTGCAAAGAGCGTGAGGCGACGTAGCCTCCGTCTGCTCCTGGTGGAGCAGGGCCGGGGTTTTGGAGGCCGGGTTTGCACCAGGCGCAGGGAACAACACAACGGAAACCTCCTCTCCTTTGATCACGGCTGTCAGTTCTTTACGCCGAAGGCTTCGCAGCCCCATTTTTCAGATGCCTGCCGGGCCTGGCAAGACGCCGGGGTGGCGGGTATTTGGAAAGGAGCGATCGGGACACTGACCTTGACCGGATCCGGCTTTCACAATGCAGACTTCGAGCCCTTCGATTCAGCAAAAGTACCTTTGGTAGGACTACCGACGATGAGTGCGATTGGTAAGCACATCATCCGCGAAGCCCAGAGCAGTGCCATTGAGTTTCGATCCTGCACAGGCTCCAAGGCTGCAAAGGCTTCTTGGGATGATGCAGCAAAGGTTTGGACTTTGCAAGTTAACTCGGACCCGGTACAAACATCCGTCTTGGCAGTTGCCACCAGTGCACGGAGCTGTGTCCGCTTGCTGGGAGAGGCTTGTGCCAGTGGCCGTGAGGCATCCAAAGTAGAGTCCAACGTTTGTTGGGCGCTCCTCGTGGCGACTTCTGAGCCCTTGTCCAACCTTGCGTGGGATGCTGCAGTGGTGGGCGGCCCGGGCTGCTTCGCCTGGGTGAGCCGCAACAGCTCCAAACCTGCCAGGCCCAAGTCTCCGTCTCCCGAGTGCTGGGTGCTGCATGCTTCTCCGGATTGGAGCAACCCACGAGCAGAACTGGAGAAAGGAGAGGCCCAAGGCTTGCTGCTGGAAGAATTCTGTCGTCACTTCGGATGCTCAACCGAAGATGTGGTTTATGCCGAGGCCTTCCGTTGGAACAACGCCTTTCCCTTGAATCCTGCGCGACTTCCGGAGAAGTGTATCGTGGAGCCGGGCCGGAGGCTTGTTGCGGGAGGCGACTGGGCGGTCGGAGACCGAGTAGGCGACGCCTTCGAGTCGGGAGTCGCCATGGGGAAAGCCGTGAACAGCCTCTTGGACTCCGGCTCTTAACTGGAGTTTGATCTTTGGAGCTTAGGAAAGGCATGGGCAGGCTGTGCAGCTCGCTCTGTTCGACTGAGTCACATCCTCGCGAAAGCTTCGGCATGGGCTCCTCAAGCCGATTGTAGCAGTTACCACCCCCCGTGATCCCTGCGCTTTCGTTGCAAGGGGCTTCTGCTTTTGGAGTGCGTTCACCCCATTGTGACTCATTCGTACTGCCCTCCGGCACCCAGGAGCTTGCTTCTGATTCCGAAAAGCTTTGCCAGCGATTGCTCCTGGTCAATGTTTATGCTGTGCTTCGCTTGCAGGCAAGCCAAGAACAGCGAATTCGAGGATATGGCTAAGACCGTCACTGCAGATTCTTTTAACAAGCAGCGGCGGACTCAGATGGAGAAGGAGCTGCATAGGGTTCGCTTCCAGGCTTTCGCCTGCTGGGCTTCGCGAGAAAGTGCAGAGTGGGCAGGACAACGAGTACGAGAAGCGCATGGCTATGCGCAAGGGCCTGGACGAGCAGATGGCCTTGATTGAACAACGGGCCAAAGAAGCGCGACTCCAGGATCTCATGGAGGGGGCCGAGATCAAGGCAACGCGGCTGTGCTGCAACTTGTACTGCGGCTTCTTGCAGTCATGCAGGCACGGAGCATCCAGCTCCTGTGCGAAGACCTCGATGCCCAGAAGAAGAGACGAGAGGTCGGCCTCCCTACCAGTAGAAACCTCGCAGTCAAGCATGCAGTAGAACAGAGCAAGAGCCTGGATGCGGCAGCGGACAGGAGCTCAAGAAGCATGGAAACGAAACGCTCCTCAGCTTGGCCCAGACATGCCCAGACCTGCATGCAATGCACTCCCACCGACTGGTGCATAGAAGACCATACTGTAGAAGTATGGAGTTTCTGCTGCGCGTACTTCCGCCTCAAGGCTTGAAGCTATTGCGCGCAGAGCGACGAATAATAGCAACGAGAAGCAGATGGAATCCTGACTGCACGTATGTGATTTCTTGCAAGCACGCCCGACTGTGCTGATCTTGGCGAGTTTCAGGCGCTGCTTGCAGTGTCTATAGTCTATAGAACTACTTAACTACTTCAGAACGGAGCGGTTGTTCTCACGAGCGAACGTAGGGCTCGTGGAAAAGCACTGAGGAGAAAGATGAGCTGAATGCGCGAATGCGCGAGCAGCTGCTTCAGGACCACTGGTTCTCAGCACGAGCTGCCCCTGCTTTCGGAGCTACAGCTCATCGCATCTTCACGTGTCTGTAAGTTCGATGCCGGCTTGATGGCAGCACAATCCGACTGCCGATGGCAGCTTACCAATTGCTCCTGTGACACGGAGCCCGTCGGCATGCTAGCCTCAGATGCCAGGAGGCTACGAGAGAGAGCAAGGGAGTTTGGGGGGGAGGGGGGCACACAAAGACAGGGAGTGAAGCAGGGCGGCACAAGGAGTCGCAGCCCAGGAGCCAGAGGCGAGAGGACGCAACAAGAAATGTGAATTCCGTACCGTAGCTTGCTTGTTCTATAGGTGGTTGCCGCGTGAGACGGAGACTGGATGTGACTGGCTTTGGAGAGTCGCGAGCCTGGTCCCACGACTTGCCCGGCCCACAGGCTCACTTCACCGAATAAGGATGGGGTCCCAAACGGCGGGGCTGGCCGATGTGTGCTGACCCGTGATAACAGATGTTACAGAGGAACAAATATGGAATCTCCGCCCTTGCGCTTGGCGATGCTGTGTGGTGCTGTGACACCACGGCCAGGAGCAGTACCGACTCGCAGCTCAGCAGGAGAGGCTGAAGGCCGCACAGCGCACCGCCGATGCCAAGGAGGCCGCGGTTGAAACTCGGGACTCGGGGGGCTGCAACCGATTCGGAAGTGTTTCGGAGGTCACGCGTCGGTTTCCGTAGTAGGTTTCCGTTCCTTGCAGCTGACAGAAGTCCTTATGCTTGGCACTTGCATCTCCTACAAGTACTGCTGCAGGTCTCGTTCCACATACTGTTTATTGGCGTTGATGTTGGTGGATGCGTGGGCAGGTACACAGTGCCATGTCATGTGCCTGTCGTTGAGACCTTGTCTGGTCTGACATGAGTTGAAGTTACAGGGTTTGAGTTTGGATCGGGGATGGCCTGGCCTTCAGGATCCTCCTGAGCAGTTGTGTGCAGTTCTAGTTTGTGAAGCTTTGCCTGCCTTGTGCGAGTTGTGAGTTGTGAGAGCCGAAATACCATGGACAACTTAAGGAGCAACTTCGGGAGTGCACCGTTTCCATGTCGCACGGTCTTGCAAAGCAGCTATTGCTGGAAGCGTTGCGGGGGTCCAAGCCATCCGCTATGCTTGCGAGGCACGCTACTTCGCAACGGCCGGCCGCCGCCCAGCTCAATCTGGACAGCCATTGAGTTCTTCAGTACGTATATATGAGTACTACATATATACACATAATGTACAGATACCTATGTACATACACATGTAGGTGTCATTCATACCCCATGTATTACGACTGTCTTCAATGTTGTCACACAGCACTGGGCTTGCACGTTTCTTATGTATGGCTACACTTGCGCACATCTGCTTCCCATGCACGTTTCTTATGTATGGCTACACTTGGCCACATCTGCTGCCCATGTTCAAGCGTGCCATCCTCACGATTGTGAAGATCTATGTCACTCACTCCTCTATATTGATATGGGGACTTTCTTTATGTGCAGATATGAACCTGGATAGTTGTTGAGTTGCAGTTGGACCCTGTAAATGTCTTAGCAGTTCGATACTGATGTTTGGCGAAGTCACTAGCTATCTGTCAATCAGCCGTTGGAGGTGACTTGGAGGAACGGTATCAACATGAGAGCATGCGGCAAGATCGCCCCATGCTCAGACCATGCGACCGCAACCTTGACATATCTTGCTGCACTGGATGAGTTCTCTACCGCGGTATCGTGCTTGAAGTCAGAATGGAGGCGACGAGAAGCAGTACAATCTGCGATTACAGCTGCACTATGCAAGGTGTGGGGCACTGAATCGAGTTCCATTCAGTCACCATCATCATGCCTCGGTTGTTTGGGCAAGCTCTTATCCCCCCACACCCCACGGCCCATTCCCTCCACCCTGGTCTATGCAGTGCCGGGATCGTTCCACAGACGAACGTGCGCCCCTGGCAGGCGAGACGCAGCGCGGAAGAAACAGCAGGAGAAAGTGCTGCAGGGCATGCGCATGCAGCAACTTGCCGTTGAACATCGCTGAACGAATGCACGCTCTGCAGTTAAGTTTCGAACCAAAGCACACCAAAGCTATGCCCAGGCAGGGTGCCGCAGACAACTCCCGAGAGCTGGATCGCATGGGGAAGGACGTTTTTTGGAGTCTTCACTTCTGCTGGTCATGGGGCACTCACGGTTCCGGAACAGGAACGCGAGCGCGATGCAGTGAATGATGCCGTCCGACGTGCGGGGGAGGCTGAAGGGGCGAAGCTGCGTCGTCAGCGGGAGGCCGAGCGGGGTTCGGGGTTATTGGATTGCGATCAACATGACAAGTCGTCGGGCAGCACGAGTAGATTTCTACGAGTGCTTGAATGTACCTGTACGGCATGTACATACTCATGTACACCAGCCTGGTTGCACTACCTGGGTGCAGGCCGAACTTGCTCTGCAAGCCGAGCATGTGGCCCGCCTGAGATGGATTTGTGGTCATTGGCTCGTTGCGATATTGACGTTAGCACAGATTTTGGGTTGCGCCGTGTCCATGGGTGACGCACGAGCTGAGTCCCACAATCACGGGACAGGACAGAGCAGCTGTTTCTTGCACATGTCTCTAAAGTCTAGACTCTAAAGACCATGAAAGGCATGCGGAGACTTGCAACATCTTGTCAGTCCTGTGGCCGTAGCGACGGTTTCGGTGGCATGCGAGGGCTTTGTTGCGGCCCGAATGCGGAATGCGCTTGCCAAGGCAAAGATGATGCTCCTAAAGCAACAACGCGAAAAGGCGCAAGCAGACTGGCCGCGACCACGGATCACCCCGGGCTGCTCCATGGCACCTCTACCAGAAAGGATGAGCACTTGTTGAGTTTTGCCTCCCTGCTCTGGGTGCATGTCAACTCTGCCAAAGGCCATTGACCAATCCTTCGTGGACATGACGGAAGCGCGTGCCAAGGGAGCCACGGTTCCAAAGTCATACAAGCCCATGCACCAGGTGGATGCAGCAAAAGACCTCAGCGGCTCGGCGCAAGAACCGTATAGAGAGTTCGTTTCGAGTCGACATGGATGCATTGTTGGAGTTTCGTATCTTGTCGAAAAGCTGGAAACCCATACTTGCAGTAGAAAGTACTGTCAGGCAAGCCGCTTGGGGCGCCCCGCGTCAAACCCTGGGTGGACCTCGCCAAGAGCTACGGCCCTGGAGGCACACCTGAAACTGAAACCTGCAGAATCCAGAGCCCTACTCGTAGAATCCAGCATCAGAAAGCTTTTCTCAATGCACAACATTTTGGGGCTGAAGTGTCGGGAGATTGCTGTCCTATATTTGCTTGTGTTTACACGGGCAGGTGTCAACGGTGTCTTCATGGGGGATGGTCGTACGAAGCAGAGCCTGATGGCAACCGGCGGATGCCGACGCATTCTGACGGAGGCCGCGGTCCGGAGCTCAGGTGCACTGGGTTACTGAAGCTATGGTTTGCTGGCTTCATCAGAAGTGTTGCGATATCCTGCAAGGCTGGCAAGACCTGGTCCGAAGGAATCGGGGCAGTCACTCGGCTGTCTATGCGGAAGAGTGATGTCGGCTGCAGTCGTGTGCAAGAGTTGGCTGCTCCCATCCATGGCCTCAGGAGGACATGAAGGCCGGTGAGCAGGCAGCGCTGCAACGCCACCATGCCAATCTGCTGGACAAGACCGATCGGTTCTAGGCTTCCAGGGCATCTGACGCTTGGAGAAATGCCCGATTGAATATTCTCGTTGTTGGTCGTCTCACCTCGATACGTCGTAACATCCTGACGATCCGTCTGTCTCACCGCAAATGTCTCACAGCATGCGTGTGGTGCCCGGAGCCAGACTTCCTGCGATTGAAAAGCTTGGGCATGCTCTTGTTTTCAATTCGGTCAGAGTACAGGCAGGGAGTTGCTATTCAGAAACATAGCCGCAGCGTCTTCTTTGACTCGCACACGACCATTGCTAATTACCCGAAATGCAGTTGGTGAGTGAGGTGTATTGTCGATTTGTCCGAGTAGGCCCCACACCCCAGACTCCAGACACTGGGTCAGCATGTTACAGAACCTGCAGGACCCGCGTTGCGGTCTGAACAGGCTGGATCCTCGCATTGAGGCACCATGCGATATGTCTGCTCTGCTTCTTGTGGTGTCTTGGTCAGGTGTCGGACGCAGCACGCAAAGTTCGGAAGGGTACCATCCCGAACCCTAGCCAAGCTGTCTGCTTTCCAGCAGGATGCTCCATGCCTGCATTTCAAGAACTGAATCGACTAAGAATCCACTGAGGGCCGAAAGCAGCAAGCCGTGCACCTGTGTGAGGTTGCCGTTCTCTCCGGCCTCCGGAATTCTGCCTGGCCCTTCACAGTTCATGTCGTGAGCCCTGCATGCCCTCTGGAGTGCCGGCATAAGGACCCCGAGCAGGAGCAGGGAAGCCTAGTGGCAGCCGTGGTGGTGGCGATAGTGCCCTGGATCAGATCAATCTTCATTGCCGGCATAGATCTCGGGACAATGCCAGTGGCTGGAGGAATCCTCGAAACTGCATGCATTGCATTACAGGCTGGTCTGCTTGCCTTGCAATCCCTGCGACGACGGCGAGAGTTGCAGGATGTAATGTCAAGGACAGATGGCGCCACTTGCCAGCATTGCAAGCAACTTTCGTACCTGCCAAGCGTGCTCGGGTAACTTGCAACATCCCGTAAGGATGTCCAAAGTCTGTTGGCGCCAGACCGGGGTTTGTCACGGAATCAGGTGCGGCAGCAGCGCAGAGGCGCTCTCTATGCTTAACTTGCACCGCTGTTTCTGCAGGTAAAGTCGGGCGCACCGACCGCATCGGAGGTTTTCGACTACGAGACATTGGAGTCCGGAAGCTTCAAACATGAGCATACCTTCCAGGCGCAGTTCTTAGCATGCCGCAACCATGATTTGGGATAGCCTCCACTTCGTCTTTCGAATGTCTGTCGCATGACCTGCAACTAGACGGCATGGTGACAGGACTGGACGAGCCTGGAGTCCATTGCGGCCAGTGCCAACATGGATGCATCACTCTCTAATCCCGAGCCTCTTGGCTACATCATTGTGTCTCATGCCAAGCCTTGATAAGACGACGTGAGCCTCGAACGTACAGGTTGACATGCAAAAGGTGACCCATTGTCGTTGGAGTTCTGTAAGGTTCTGCGGACTTGCGCACGAACTGCTGACGCATGATGGCTTGATTGTACTTCGATTGGAAACTGTGAAGCGCTTCGCCAAGCAAGGCAGTGCGGCTCGAATTGATGATCGCTGATGACGGAATTGCTTGGTGTGGAAGTCTAGATCCGGCATTTTTTGTGCAGACTTTATTGGAAAACGTACTGCGAGCTTAGGATGGCTTTCAGGCGATGCTGGATCTTGTCTTCCCGTCTGGTACCACGCTCATCCTTCCGCTGCCGGACAACCATGTAAAGCGCAGCAATTCCCGAATCTCAACTTTTCATTTGGACGAGGTCGGGCTGTTTCTGTGAGTCTTCGAGAACTTTCTCGACATCGTGTCACGTATAGCTTGCTTGTTGCACGAGTCCCTATCAGGTCCCTGGGAAGAGCTTGAGCGAGGCGAAACATTTGCTGGTCAATGTGCCTTGACACATCGATAGCAAGTTTTTTGCAGGTCTTAGCGTTGGCCCATCTTGCCACTCGACACGTGTCTGTCCACCCGGCGAATCCCGGGGGTGTAGGTGTGGTTCCCATGCCCGTCTTGCGAAGTCGGCTCCAAGCGCCTCGCGGTCGGAAGAGGACGCGCCTTTCGTGACATCGCGCACGCGGAGAAGTTGAAAGTTTACGGCTGCGTGACTGCAAGGCAGTGCAAGGCAGCGCAGGGTGCAGCCAGGGCCAGGGCATGGCGACCAAGGACCCGGTCCTCGAATCCCGCGATCGCAGCCAACGGTGAATTACTGCCTGTCGCCGGAAGGCCGAGAAACTAGGTAACCAGGGTTGCGAGAACTTGTGTGGATTGCTCTGTGGGTTGGAGTGCGGAGGTACTGAGAAGCTTGAGCCCAGGCTGCTATAAGGTCAGTCACTGGTTACATTTGGTTGCCTTTTGTGGGGGGCTCGTTGTGGTTCGTGGACAGAGGCGGGAGATGGAGAGACAACTTAGTGAGAGAGCGGGCGCATGAGTGAGAGTAGTCCTTTCGCTCTAGGACGAAATCTTCTTGTTGGCTTGCATGCTCCTAGCAATCTCAACGTGCACGGTTGGACTTGTCGAAGCTCAACATTTCAATAGGTGCCTCCTTGCAATATGATGCCGCACCTTGTCACTGCTGGGCATGTGTGCGCAGTCAGAACTTGCCGACGCGTGCGTGAACTGCACCACAGGACCCCGACCACTGGGTCAGCGGTACCAACTCGGCGCACACACCCCTCCACCCCCCCCCTTCCAAGTGCTTCAGCTAGGTGCAGGTCGCCTGTCTGGTCCAACGCATATGCGCGGGGAGGCTTTTGCTGCCTGATTTAGTTTCTTGCTCAGACCCACCTCGGAGCATTTAATATCTGAATGTGTACATGCGACAGACAGAGAGAAGGATGGCGATTCAGACAAACACAGAGAGAGTTTTTGCACAGATTTCATGGCCTTGGCTGTGCTGCGCCTTGCTTGCTTGTCGCCCGAGGCTGTGGCCGGAGATTTGGCGTTCACGCCGGAGCAGTCTTTGGCTGCTTCTTGATTCGAGACTTCACATTCATAGCCCACAAGCAATGGTAGCAATCGTCCGCGGCGGCAACCAGCCAAACATACCCAAATGGGTACCGCACTAATTTTTTCATGTTTCACAATATGACATATGTGCCGGAGTGGTACTTGTAGACGCACAAGAACGCCTCCTTAATGCTAATGGCCGGAGGAAGAGTACACGGATAATACTGGAATCTGGAATCAGAAAGAGCGAGGATGCAGGACCCAGTGTGTTAGCGATTACCTTGGAAAACTACAGCCGCGTATGAGAAAAGTTAGACTGTCATGTTGAGGCCAGCCAGCTTTTCATACTAGCCGTGAGTGGTGTCAAGAAATTATCATCATATTGCAAATGGCACCAAC